TCTTTGGTCTCAGGTGGGTGTGTAGCGGCCTTTAAAGCTCTCTGGTATTTTGAGCAAAACACTTCATAGACATGTTTTATATATATATCTATGAAGTGTTTTGCTCAAAATACCACACAGATCATTCTAGCCTCAAACCCCTCTATTTCAGCCTGTTACTAAAGAGCTGATTCTGGGTCTGTAGCTTTAAAAAATAAATAATAATAAATAAAAAAAGACGAGAGCTCATTCAGGAGAATTCTACCAGCAGATAATCAGCAAAAAAGATAATTCTGACTTAAAGGGGACCTATCATGCAAAATGCTCTCTTTTCCTCCGTACCCAAATCTCTAAAAACGGGGGAACAACGGAGCTGATCCAGATTTGCGTCCGATATGACGTAATATCTGAAATGTGGACCCACGGCCCTATCAGAAACGTTGCTATCAGAAACAATGCCCGACTATTTTGGACGTAATATGGTCGGTGTTTACATTAGCATCGCTAACACTCAGAGCTAACCTGTACTGGAGAGCATGTGTGTGAAGAAGCAGGAAATAAAAAGGAACTCACCTTGTGGTATAACCGGCAAGAGAGAAAGCCTTTGAGCTCCATACTGTTTCAGAGAGAATCCTTGATAATCCATGATATGGCGTTTCATCACGGCAGTATTTAGTTTAGACAGTAGCTGCCGGGTCCCGCATGAGCTCAGACCCCTCCTTTTTTATTTTTTAAAGCTTTATACCCCAAATCAGCACGTTTGAAACAGGAAGTGAAATAGAGGGATATGAGGCATGGCTAGAATGGGTGATCTGTTTGGTATTTGGAGCAAAACACTTCATAGACATGTTTTTCATATTTTTATATATATCTGAGACCTATGCTATTGCCTAAAGATAGCATGATAGGTCACCTTTAATTTAGATGTGAATTGTACCTGGATTTAAAACAAAAAGTGGTGGAAATAGTAAATAAAATACTGACTTAAATTTGATCTATTAACAAAAATTCTGGTTGTTTTTGGTGACTGATCTCAAGACAGAAACTCAGCTAAATGCTGCCGTCATGAAACTCCACATCCTGTTCCAAACCACATCAAGGATTATTATGAGTTCCCTTTTATGTCCTGCTTGTTTCTTTTAAGTAAACGTAAAGTGGTTGATGTCACTTTAAGTGAATGAAACATATCATTACTTTGACCTCTCACCTTTGTTGAGGTCCAGCTCGTGGTCCTCCTCGTCTTTCTCCTTCTTCTTCTTCTCCTCCTCCTGTTTCTCCTTTGAGTTCTCGTTCACGTTGTCGTTGGAAACCCACTGGATCTCCCCTCCCGTCTCCTGCCACTCGCCGCTCTTATCCAGCGGGGGCTTCGGCGCCTCCTTGATGAGGTCATCAGTCTGCGCCTCGGCCTTGATGGCTGCTCGCTCCCTCTGGAGGAAGAGCTGAGGAAGAGGAGGATAAATAAAATAAATAAAATAAATAAAATAAATAAAATAAAATAAATAAAATAAATAAAATAAATAAAATAAATAAAATAAAATAAAATAAAATAAAATAAAATAAATAAAATAAATAGATGCTAATGTATACCCCTGTAATTATGTTGTGATGTCCTTTTTGTTTTCTGTTTGTTTTTATATGTGTAACTCAATGTACCGCAGGTCTCCCTTGTAAAAGAGATCGTTGATCTCAATGGGATTTTTAACCTGGATAAATAAAGGCTACAAACAAACAAATAAAATAAATAAAATAAATAAAATAAATGGAGGTGCATACCTGTACCAGCGCTGCGATGGCGCTGAGCGTCCCGGTGCTGGCTAATTCCTGGAGCGGGTTGATGAGGACGGTGGCGTCGCAGGGACCCTCCATCTCCATCTCCATCAGGAAGTACTTGTTCCTCGCACTGTATTCCACCAGATTAATCAGCAGACCCAGACCCTGAAAATGAACAGAACACAGTTCAACACTTCATTATGACTGTGTGTGTGTGTGTGTGCGCGTGTGCGTGTGTGTTCCTCACCAGCACTCGGATGTCGAACCTCTGCTCCTGAGGAAGATACTGAGGCACTTTGAGGACACAGTTCAGCGCCGTCAGGATTAAATCCTCCTGCTCTCCGGTCTTCGTGCTGCCCCACTCTGCACACACACATCAAAACACACACTCACGGGTTAACACACATCAAAACACACACTCACGGGTTAACACACACTCACGGGTTAACACACATCAAAACACACACTCACCGGTTAACACACATCAAAACACACACTCACGGGTTAACACACATCAAAACACACACTCACAGGTTAACGCACATCAAAACACACACTCACAGGTTAACACACATCAAAACACACACTCACGGGTTAACACACACTCACAGGTTAACGCACATCAAAACACACACTCACAGGTTAACACACATCAAAACACACACTCACGGGTTAACACACACTCACAGGTTAACGCACATCAAAACACACACTCACAGGTTAACACACATCAAAACACACACTCACGGGTTAACACACACACGGGTTAACACACATCAAAACACACACTCACGGGTTAACACACATCAAAACACACACTCACGGGTTAACACACATCAAAACACACACTCACAGGTTAACGCACATCAAAACACACACTCACAGGTTAACACACATCAAAACACACACTCACGGGTTAACACACACTCACAGGTTAACGCACATCAAAACACACACTCACAGGTTAACACACATCAAAACACACACTCACGGGTTAACACACACTCACAGGTTAACGCACATCAAAACACACACTCACAGGTTAACACACATCAAAACACACACTCACGGGTTAACACACATCAAAACACACACTCACGGGTTAACACACATCAAAACACACACACACGGGTTAACACAAATCAAAACACACACTCACGGGTTAACACACACACGGGTTAACACAAATCAAAACACACACTCACGGGTTAACACACACTCACGGGTTAACACACTTTAACAAAACTCATTGTGTGATTCTTATTTGCTAATGTTTATCTCTATTTACTGGCTGTCACGTCTTTGCTAAGCTTGGGAAATGTTCTTAAGCAGATTTGTTGCAGTGTTAGTAACTCTGAGCACCAACAGTATGACCGTGTGTGTGTGTGTGTGTGTGTGTGTGTGTGTGTGTGTGTGTGTGTGTGTGTGTGTGTGTGTGTGTGTGTGTGTGTGTGTGTGTGTGTCCTCACCGTTGTCCTGTGTGAGGTTGACCAGTACTCCGATGATGGCTCTCATGCAATCCTCCACAGCTTTCCCCACGGCTCCGTCTGAGTTCAGCTCTCTGCTGTAGCGCTGGATCATCGCCTCACACCTCCGCAGCAACCTGACACACAGGAGGGACAACAGACATTAGTCATTTGTCTCGTTAGACAAAATCTAAAAATTCTGACTTTTTGAATACTTAAAGGTGGGGTAGGTAAGTTTGAGAAACCGGCTCGAGATCGCTAGAATTTGAAAATACACAACCGGAGAAAATCTGCCACTTCCTTACAGAGCCCCTCCTCCGACACACACGAACGCGCACATGACCAATGAGGGCACGAGATAAGTTTGTGCACAGATGGAAGGCTGACAGGCAGGTAGGCCATCCAGTTACTTTAGCCGGGCCGGCTCAGATGATTGGTCGTGCTTTTTACAGTACTACAGCTTCCACAGATGATATTTATTTATGGATTTTTTGTCAAAGCACTTCAGATATTCATTGCTATCGGGATGTTAAGAGCATTCCATGGAATATAACAAGTGTATCTCGAGCCGGTTTCTCAAACTTACCTACCCCACCTTTAACATTTTTAATAATCACTGGTCAGCGGCTTGAGCTTCAATCTCAGGATCCATGTATACACACAGAATAAATTCAAAAAAAATATGAGAAACTGTAAATATATATATATTATTGTTATTATTTATTTGTTCTCGTCTTTCATGTTTTTTTATGTATATACTTTGGATTGAAGATTGAGCAAAAGGATAATTGTAAAAATTGTGACAGGGCAAAAGTGTGAATACGTTTGTATAAGTTATAAATAAAAAATATATAAATAATAATAATAATATTAATTCAAATGTGTACTTGGATGTATATTTTGTCAATAAATGTACACAACTACTTCTTTCCATCGGTCTCAAACTAAAGTGATTTAACCCTAGTTACTGGTTTATCACAAACACACTGGACTCTGAGCCAGCTGTCGCATCTGGATCTCACACAACAGAGCAGCATTCACACACATTCAGACACACACTCAAAGACACACACACATTCAGACACACACTCTCAAACACACACACACACACACAGAGAGAGAGAGAGAGAGAGAGAGAGAGCAGGAGGTCAGCCGCCTGATGTCTATAACTGAATTAAATCTAATGACAGAGCAGAAACCAGAGAGAGAGAGAGGACAGAAGACAGAGAAAGAAAATAAGAGTTTTTTGTTGTACATAAATGAAGGCAAAGTAAGAGAGGAGGTAAAACAGAAAAGACACATTTACAGGTTTTAAGAGTGAAATTCGGCTAATCTTAAAAAGATTAAAGTTCAAATGTAATATTTTCCTCTGTATGAACGCTGAAAGGTGTCATTTTCTTTTAATGAACTATAGTTTGTGTGCAACAGTCAATAAAGCAACTTTTCTTTTGTTGGAGTTCATGAGATAATTTTAGTTATTTGCAGATAAAAAACTTAAATATTTAAATAAGTCAAAAGCTGCAATAAACCAGAATTACACCTTAAGATATGATTGAGTCCGTCAAGACCGGTTCCCACTCCTGCTTGTAGTCAATAATAAAAAGGACTTGTCTCTGTGTGTGTGTGTGTGTGTGTGTGTGTGTGTGTGTGTGTGTGTGTGTGTGTGTGTGTGTGTGTGTGTGTGTGTGTGTGTGTGTGTGTGTGTGTGTGTGTGTGTGTGTGTGTGTGTGAGATTATTGAATTAGCTCTGCAGACAGCTGAAAGACTCGGGGTGATTTTGGGTTGAAAAAATAAGGACAGCGGAAACAGAAGAGAGAAGGGTGTGTGTGGAGGCTGTGGCTCAGTGGGATAGTGCGCTGAACTTAGTGTGCTGAACTTTGAATCAGGGGATAGCAGGTTCAAACCCCACTGCAGTCAGCATGTCGTTGTGTCCCTGAGACACTTCACCCCAAATTGCTCCTGTGGGGATTGTCCACAGTATTGAGTATGTTAGTCGCTTTGGATAAAAGCGTCTAACAAGTGACATGTGTGTGTGCGTGCGTGTGTGTGTGTGTGTGTGTGCGTGCGTGTGTTAATCGAGTTAACAGGCAGCTGAACTTCAGACTGAAACAGCCTCTCTTTGTTCGGGGGTTGAGGCTCCGGTCGTTTCTCTGATTCTGTGTTCATGACGCCCGATATTTATATTTTGGAATATATATATATTTAATATAAAACAAGAGCAACTAAATGATGTGATTACCTCAAACTAGGTCGTCATGTTTTGTGTTTTGGGCTAAATTTGTCTCCAGGACGACGAAAAACCACGGGCCTGATTTTTATAAAAGTAGGTGTAAAGCTGCTTTCATGTGGTGTCAGAATTACCATCAGATGTGTGTTTTAAGTTATTCTAAATATAACTATTATCTTGATAAAACAAGCTGTCACCTGACCAAAGAAAATAGTTTTAATCACAAAACAATAGTATATATATTTTCGAGAGTCAAAAACATGCCTATTTATTGCATCACTTCAGATGATTAGAATATAAAAAGATATAGATTATGGTGCATTTGTATTAAAACTGCCGGTATCTGATGAGGTTTGAACAAAAGCACCGTCATGTGTCAGAAACACTGGAGGGCAGAGAGGGAAGGAGACGGGGTCAGAGGTCAGAGCTGTGACTGACAGCATGTCACCAGCAGGAAATCAAACAACAAAACCCTGATAATGAGATTAATACACACAATAAGCACCAGACATACTGAGACACACACACCCCCACACCCACCCACACCCACACATTTATAAAGACACACACCCACATTTATAAAGACACAGTCTACACAGTACAGCTGCAGAAATCAAGGTTTACATTTTAAACTGAAACAAATCGTTTTTTTTTGTTATATTTCTACGTTTTCATGATCAAATATCCACGAAAATGTAATTGATGTGTTGATACACAAAGTCTTAGCTATAGAACGAAGTCCAATTGACGACACAGAGGAAGTGTGTCCAACATTGATTCAACCCATTAGGTTTATTGGCAAAATGTGTGTGTCTGTGTGTCTGTGTGTGCGTGTGTCTGTGTGTGTGTGTGTGTGTGTCTGTGTGTGCGTGTGTCTGTGTGTGTGTGCGTGTGTCTGTCTGCGTGTGTCTGTGTCTGTGTGTGTGTGTGTGTGTGTGTGCGTGTGTGTGTCTGTGTACGCGTATGTGTGTGCGCGCGCGAGTGTGTATGTGTGTGTGTCTGTGTGTGTGTGTGTGTGTGTGCGTGTGTGCGCGTGTGTCTCTGTGTGTGTGCGTGTGTGTGTGCGTGCCTGTGTGTGTGTGTGTACACGTGTGTGTGTCTGTGCGTGTCTGTGTGTGCACATGCGTGTGTGTGCGTGTCTCTGTGTGTGTGTGCTCACTTTGCAGAGGAGATGATGAGTGATGAGTCTTTGTAGGCGATCAGGTAGCTCTGGTTCTCTGGGTTGTGGTCCGTAACCTGAAAAAAAGACACACACTTTACCTGAAAGCTACTATTATAACGTTATATATATATATATATATATATATATATATAACGTTATAATAGTATATATATATATATATATATCAAGTCTATATTTGTTCCCTGGACAGCACTTTGGTCAACTGAGGTTGTTTTAAATGTGCTATATAAATAAATATAGATTGAAGCCTTCCTGGAGTTTGTAATAAAACCCTGCAACAGTAACCCTCATCTTAAAGTGTAACATCATACAAACTGTTGTACGTACGCTCTCTAACACCCGTAAGCAACGCTCGGCTCCCCACAGAGACGACACCATCTTCTCCTTCTCATCCTCCTGGTTCAGGTTCTCCACACAGTCCCCCACTGCAGAGGAGGAGCAACAACAGGGTCAGAACACATCTCTATCATAATCATGTGATATAATACATTATTTTAGATATATTATATATTTATATATGTATATTTATAAAGTCTTAAAGTTACAACCGGCCCTTTGAGTGCAACCATAATGCTGATGTGGCCGGCGATGACACTGAGTTTGACCCCCCTGCTCTATATAATCACTAGCCTCTCTGTGGAGTACCTTTATCCACGATGTGGTCCAGTCCTCCCAGCAGCCGGAGCTCCTCTTTGAACCAGTCCCCCGCTCGCTTGGACGTCAGAGACAGTAACGTCTCCATCGCCAAGTGACCCGTCTACAGGGAGAGAGGAGGGACAAAAACAAGTCAGATTCAATATCGACTTGTTTTATATATAAATATATATAAAGAGAAAAAGCATTTGAGCTCCATACTGTTTCAGAAATAATGCTTGATGTGGTTTGGAACATGATATGGCGTTTAATCACGGCAGCATTTAGCTGAGTTTCTGCTGGGAGAGTTCTGAGCAGGCATTAGCTCCCCCCCTACTGACCCAGAATCAGCACTTTAGTAACAGGCTGAAATAGAGGGGATGAGGCTAGAATGATCTGTTTGGTATTTTGAGCAAAACACTTCTCGTGCCGCTTTCACACCGACGCAGCTCCCGGTCTAGCTCTGGGTCGGAACCGGTTTTTCTTTACAGGCCCCGTTTTGTTCACACCGCCCAGAGCCCGAGTGGTGCTGCGTCATTGCGTCATCGTTTGCGTCATGACGTAACCGTTTACGGGACTGCTTCATAAAGCCAAACTGCGTGGAAACCCCTCACATCAACAACAATGGCCGATTGTATTGAAGCGCTGCTCATTTTGCTTTGTCGAAACCAAATGGAAATAATCGGACGACTTCACCACGAACTTTCCATTCGTCACAAGCGACTTTCAAATGTTCTTCACAATCAACAACGACGATTACGTAGGAGAAAGAAGGTAAGCATACGTCCTATTCGATGGCGTTAGAGCTAGCTGTTGTTAGCCTCTGCATGCGCCAAGCTCAAAATACCGACCTTTGCAGCATTAATTACTTCAGGTATAACATTAAAACTGATTCTCAATGTTATTTCTACAGATCACGTTGAAGCTGGCGGAAAGGCAGCATTGTAGTTGTTGTTCAGGAGGGTGATCCCGCCCCCGCCCCCGCCTCCGACGTAAGCGTGACGTATGCAGTTCTTGCTTTTAGACTAGGGCTGTGCGATTATGGCAAAAATCATAATCACGATTATTTTGGTCAATAATTGATATCACTATTATTAAAAAACGATTATCCATTTACTTTGAAAACATCCATCTATTGAAAAAAAAAAATTGGAACAGTATGTTTTTAACAGTTGATTACCCTGAACTTTAAGTATAATTAAACTAAAAAACCCAAAAAAAATTATGAAATATTTTTTTTTTAATAAAAATAAGAATCGTTTTATTTCAATTACGTTGTTTTCATAATCGTTGCAAGCCAAAATCGTAATCGAGATTAAAATACGATTACTTGCACAGCGCTATTCTAGGCCGACAATTTTTTCGAGCTTGGTAAGAACCGGTTTTCGGGGAAAAGAGCCGGCTCCGCTCCGCTGCGGCGTGAACAGGAAAACCCGGTGCTTATCAGGCTCTAGCTCCGAACCGGCCCTGGAACCGCGTTGGTGTGAAAGGGGCAACAGACATGTTTTTTATATATCTGAGACGTATAATAATGCCTAAAAATAGCATAATAGGAGACATTTAAATTGTGCAAAACCATGAAGAGCTGCTGACAGAACACGATAACATCAGAGGTTGTTGTGTGCAGGGTTTCGTACCGTGATGTTCTGCAGGTCCAGGTGTTTGTTGTGCACGGTGTCACACAGCTTCCGGATCTTCTCCTTTATCTTGGCGATCTCTCTGGCGCTGAACTGGGCGTCGGGGTCGGACACGGCGCCGGGCCCCTGGTCGTGGTCCATCTCCAGCAGCCGGATCATCAGGTCCAGACAGGATCGATCCAGGTCCATGTTCAGACGGTCCCGACTCAGGATGTACATCAGCGTGGCCGTGCACAGAGCCAGGTTCTGCTCACAGGAGAGGGGGGGGGGGGGGGGGGGGGGGAGGGAGGACTTTAATTATAGTTACAATAGTCCCTTCCAATAGAGTGCATGTTATATGTTCAGTCTGAATTAAAGAAAGGCTTTAAAAGTGTTTATAGTGTTCTGAAATGTGCAAGATCAGATCTTAGTATAAGGAAGAGAGATGGGAGTTCAGCAGGTGTGTGTGTCTGATCCTCACCGAGTGTTGGGGGGCGTCGTTGAGCGTTTTGAAGACCTGAGCCACCTTCCCTCTGGCCCTCAGATGCATCCTGAAGCTCGGCATCGCACAGCGCGTCGCCAGGCTGATCACACTGCACACACACACACACACACACAGCATCAGCACAGAGTGGAGAGAATAAGAGAATACCGCATTGACGCGAATATATGATTTTTTCTAGAAGAAATCTGAAAAAGAGGGTCGTCTGATATTCGGGGTCTAGACTTTTCGATGTAACAGATCGCGCCAAACGAGTTTTAAAGTACGGAAACAGTTCACAGCAACAGGTGGAGAGAGAGAGAGATGGAGAGACACAGAGACCAACTGGATCAAAAGTAGGCGAGTTAATAAACAAGAGAGGCGAAGTTACGAGAGAGAGAGAGCATCATAAAAGGGTTCAAGGAATGCTGCGTATCAAATGCCACGGATGGCAGCGAGGAAGACGTGATGGGAGTGTTTACATAATCTATATTATATGATCATGTGTTGTAAGTCATGCTCATGAGTTTCATCCTTTTGTTTATTCAAAGAAACCATGAATGTGCACATGTCTGTCTGCAGCGTTCACACAAGATTAGAGATTAATACAATTAAAGATAAAAATCGAATTATATTCAGTTAAGTAACTTTAAAATAAGAAATGAATTACAATCAGGCTATATGCAGGAGTCCTTTTCAGTCCCTGCTAGAGAGGTGGTACTTTCATGGGGAGGAAAAAGTTCCAATTTCTGATTGGCGGGGCGAATTACAAACCACGCCCCGTAAAAGTCTGAAAAGTTTTGTGAAGCCGCCATTTTATTTGCTCGCATTAGCATTATTAGCATTAGCATTAGCCCCGCGCACCAATGGAGAGAGACTAACTTATGGCATAAAGAATGGGAGCGGTGGAGTGATGAGGAGGTGTCGGCGCTTCTGGCGATTTACCCGGGGTGGGGGGTGTATTTGATCTGTTGCATCTCCAGTATGTATTTGACTGCTCAGTTGCATTCTGTGTGATTATTCTTTATAATGTAAACTTTCAAAAATAAAGTGTTCAAAAATAAAATAAAATAAAACATATGTACACATTAGATATATTTACATAATAATAATGAACGTGCTCACCTGAGGCAGCGCGTGTTGAGCGGCTGTCCGCTCTTCAGACCCGTCGCCAGGTACTCAAAGTCGTCCGTGAACTCCTGATTTTCCCCGAACTCCACCACGTCGTTGAAGTGCTTCACGTGCTGCACCACGGTGTAAAGCTGCAACACAGAGGCGGTTCAAGAGATCTGATGATACCTGCTCTCTCATCTTCAATGCTAAGTAACTTTAAAATAAGAAATTAATGTTTTTCATATGTGATTCGTTGGAATGTGTTTTGGACTGATGAAATGCTTGATTATAGTGAAATGGAAGTGCTTTCGTGTACCTCTTTGTGCTCTTTGCGGCACTTGAGTGCAGTGACGGTGTCCTGGTACAGATCCGTGGGGAGGGTCACACATTTAGTGACTTTAGGGGGAGGGGGAGGAGCTTTAAAGAGACCGTCGTCCTTATGAGCCGCTGATGAATCCTTACTGGATCCTCCTGATGCTGGAGCCTGGAGAGGAGGAGGGGGGAAGGAGGAGGAGGGGGGGAGGAGGGAGAGGAGGATATTATTATTTATTTTTATTTTTCATTTAATGACTTAGTTTTTCCAAACATGGACATTCAGTAAACAAAAAACAAGACAAAGAAACACGCCTTAAACCACAAAACAGGTTTTTTATGTGAAGGAAAAAAATATATATATAATTAAATATTAATTAATTCAATTATTTATGTTATCTATATTAAACTGCATGACACAACACACATCAAATGAAATCAGAACGTACATAAGAGAGGCCGGTATGAATAAATATTAGGGCTGTCAGTCGATTAAAATAGTTAATCGCAAATGTTCTAAATGCACCTTAGAGGAATATTTTTGAAATAATGCGCTGTGCAGTCGACACGTTGGATGCGATCCGAATGATCTAACGCAGCCCCTCGTCCTCCACAATGTTAAGCTGTAGCCCCCCATTTAGCTATCGCTGTTGTTGTCCAGGCGTCTCCCCGGCAAACTTTCAAGCGTGGTCTGCCGCAAGCGAGCGGCAGGAGCGGGGCTGTCAGCATCAGCTGGGTGCTTGGCTTGCTGTTTAAAACACCTTTTCTTGTATCCATATCTCTCGCTAGAATCTCCCACCATCCAACTAACAACAACAACAACAACGTCAAGCCTTTGGGCTCTTAAACTACGGGGCGGGCCGAGGACAAGTACACATGCGTTAATCGCACAATAAAATAATTAGTGGCGTTAAGAGAAATTTGCATTAACACGTTAACTTGACAGCCCTAATAAATATACATTATACCAAGACCAGTGACACGGTGTTGCCCTCATGCTATATCTCTCTAGAGAAACCCTGATATCAATATATGACATTATTTATTTATTTATTCCACACATGGCAGTTATTTTAAATCAAAACATGTACACTTATACTGGTTGTTTTTTTGTTTTTTTTATAGTGCATGGTGGAAAGGAGCATACATTCTAAATATATGATATAATTACGACAGAGATGAATATGTGAACTCACAGGAGCCGAAGAGACGAAGGTCTGCGGAGCCTCTTCTTCACTTTCCACCGCCCAGTGCCGCGCGTTATACACAGCTTTAGTGGGAGACTGAAGGAAACACAGAAAACACATGTTTAACATCAGAGACAGGACACAAAGACATTATGTTGTTGTTCTTACAGTTGTGTGTTGCTGTGTCACTATGTAAAGAGTCCTTAGTGCTGTTTAAGTACTATACAAATTATACTTTTTTTTATTAGAGCTAAAAAGGCTCCTTGATCCCAGGGGGAAAATTAACTTTTATTATTTATTTACGACCTTTTTTTAAGCAAGTAAGTAAGTAAGCAAGTAAGTAAGCAAGCAAGAAAGTAAGTAAGAAAGCAAGTAAGTAAGCAAGTAAGCAAGTAAGTAAGTAAGCAAGTAAGTAAGTAAGCAAGTAAGCAAGTAAGTAAGCAAGTAAGTAAGCAAGAAAGTAAGAAAGTAAGCAAGTAAGAAAGTAAGTAAGAAAGTAAGCAAGTAAGCAAGTAAGCAAGTAAGTAAGCAAGTAAGCAAGAAAGTAAGAAAGTAAGTAAGAAAGTAAGTAAGTAAGTAAGAAAGTAAGTAAGCAAGTAAGCAAGTAAGCAAGTAAGCAAGCAAGAAAGTAAGAAAGTAAGTAAGAAAGTAAGTTAGAAAGCAAGCAAGTAAGCAAGTAAGCAAGTAAGCAAGTAAGCAAGTAAGCAAGTAAGTAAGTAAGCAAGCAAGTAAGCAAGCAAGTAAGCAAGAAAGCAAGTAAGTAAGTAAGCAAGCAAGTAAGTAAGTAAGCAAGCAAGTAAGCAAGAAAGCAAGTAAGTAAGCAAGCAAGTAAGCAAGAAAGCAAGTAAGCAAGCAAGTAAGCAAGCAAGCAAGCAAGTAAGCAAGTAAGTAAGAAAGCAAGCAAGTAAGCAAGTAAGTAAGAAAGTAAGTAAGAAAGCAAGTAAGCAAGCAAGTAAGCAAGCAAGCAAGTAAGCAAGTAAGTAAGCAAGTAAGCAAGTAAGTAAGCAAGCAAGTAAGCAAGCAAGCAAGCAAGCAAGTAAGCAAGTAAGCAGGTAAGCAAGTAAGCAAGCAAGCAAGCAAGCAAGCAAGTAAGTAAGTAAGCAAGTAAGCAAGTAAGCAAGTAAGCAAGTAAGTAAGCAAGCAAGCAAGTAAGCAAGTAAGCAAGTAAGCAAGTAAGCAAGTAAGTAAGCAAGTAAATCAAATCAAGTTTTATTTATAAAGCACATTTAAAAGCAATTTTTGGTCGAGCCAAAGTGCTGTACATGTAATAAAAACACATTACTACAATCACAATAAAAGACAATAAATTACAACAGATATATATAAAAAATAAAAATAAAACACAAGGAAAAGTCAGGAGTCGTGCTCCGCTCTGACTAGAAGGCCAGAGAGAAGAAGTGTGTTTTTAGTGTAGATTTAAAAACCCCTAGGGTCTGGGCCGACCTCACATGGAGGGGCAGAGTGTTCCAGAGCCTCGGGCCAGCTGCTGAGAAGGCTCGGTGCCCTCGGGTTTTAAGCCTGGTCTTGGGCACTACCAGCAGCAGCTGGTCAGCAGACCTTAAAGCTCTGGCTGGGGTGTAGCACTGGAGGAGTTCAGCTATATAGGCCGGAGCCAGCCCATTAAGTGCTTTAAAAACAAATAAAAGGATTTTAAAATCAATTCTGAACCAAACTGGAAGCCAGTGTAGTGAGGCCAGAATTGGGGTGATGTGGTCATGCTTTTTGTGGCCAGTCAGCAAATGTGCAGCTGCGTTCTGGACTAGCTGCAGGAGTTTAATTGAGGCCTGGTCCATACCCACATACAGAGCGTGGGGGAAGTAAGTAAGTAAGAAAGCAAGTAAGCAAGCAAGCAAGCAAGAAAGCAAGTAAGTAAGTAAGTAAGCAAGTAAGTAAGCAAGTAAGTAAGAAAGCAAGTAAGCAAGCAAGTAAGCAAGCAAGTAAGCAAGTAAGTAAGCAAGCAAGTAAGCAAGCAAGCAAGTAAGCAAGTAAGTAAGCAAGTAAATCAAATCAAGTTTTATTTATAAAGCACATTTAAAAGCGATTTTTGGTCGAGCCAAAGTGCTGTACATGTAATAAAAACACATTACTACAATCACAATAAAAGACAATAAATTACAACAGATATATATAAAAAATAAAAATAAAACACAAGGAAAAGTCAGGAGTCGTGCTCCGCTCTGACTAGAAGGCCAGAGAGAAGAAGTGTGTTGTTAGTGTAGATTTAAAAACCCCTAGGGTCTGGGCCGACCTCACATGGAGGGGCACAGTGTTCCAGAGCCTAGGGCCAGATGCTGCGAAGGCTCGGTGCCCTCGGGTTTTAAGCCTGGTCTTGGGCACTACCAGCAGCAGCTGGTCAGCAGACCTTAAAGCTCTGGCTGGGGTGTAGCGCTGGAGGAGTTCAGCTATATAGGCCGGAGCCAGCCCATTAAGTGCTTTAAAAACAAATAAAAGGATTTTAAAATCAATTCTGAACCGAACTGGAAGCCAGTGTAGTGAGGCCAGAATTGGGGTGATGTGGTCATGCTTTTTGTGGCCAGTCAGCAAACGTGCAGCTGCGTTCTGGACTAGCTGCAGGCGTTTAATTGAGGCCTGGTCCATACCCACATACAGAGCGTGGGGGAAGTAAGTAAGTAAGAAAGCAAGTAAGCAAGCAAGTAAGCAAGAAAGTAAGTAAGCAAGTAAGTAAGCAAGCAAGTAAGCAAGAAAGTAAGCAAGTAAGCAAGTCAGTAAGTAAGTAAGCAAGTAAGTAAGAAAGCAAGTAAGTAAGCAAGTAAGCAAGTAAGTAAGCAAGAAAGCAAGCAAGTAAGCAAGTAAGCAAGCAAGTAAGCAAGAAAGCAAGTAAGCAAGTAAGTAAGAAAGCAAGTAAGTAAGAAAGCAAGTAAGAAAGCAAGTAAGCAAGCAAGTAAGCAAGAAAGCAAGTAAGAAAGCAAGTAAGCAAGCAAGTAAGCAAGAAAGCAAGTAAGTAAGCAAGTAAGCAAGTAAGTAAGAAAGTAAGTAAGAAAGCAAGTAAGCAAGCAAGTAAGCAAGCAAGTAAGCAAGTAAGTAAGCAAGCAAGTAAGCAAGTAAGCAAGTAAGCAAGTAAGCAAGTAAGCAAGTAAGTAAGCAAGTAAATCAAATCAAGTTTTATTTATAAAGCACATTTAAAAGCGATTTTTGGTCGAGCCAAAGTGCTGTACATGTAATAAAAACACATTACTACAATCACAATAAAAGACAATAAATTACAACAGATATATATAAAAAATAAAAATAAAACACAAGGAAAAGTCAGGAGTCGTGCTCCGCTCTGACTAGAAGGCCAGAGAGAAGAAGTGTGTTTTTAGTGTAGATTTAAAATCCCCTAGGGTCTGGGCCGACCTCACATGGAGGGGCAGAGTGTTCCAGAGCCTAGGGCCAGCTGCTGCGAAGGCTCGGTGCCCTCTGGTTTTTAAGCCTGGTCTTGGGCACTACCAGCAGCAGCTGGTCAGCAGACCTTAAAGCTCTGGCTGGGGTGTAGCGCTGGAGGAGTTCAGCTATATAGGCCGGAGCCAGCCCATTAAGTGCTTTAAAAACAAATAAAAGGATTTTTAAATCAATTCTGAACCGAACTGGAAGCCAGTGCAGTGAGGCCAGAATTGGGGTGATGTGGTCATGCTTTTTGTGGCCAGTGAGTAGACGTGCAGCTGCATTCTGCACTAGCTGCAGGCGTTTAATTGATGCCTGGTCCATACCCACGTACAGAGCGTGGGGGAAGTAAGTAAGTAAGTAAGCAAGTAAGTAAGCAAGCAAGTAAGTAAGCAAGTAAGTAAGCAAGCAAGTAAGTAAGTAAGTAAGCAAGTAAGCAAGTAAGCAAGTAAGTAAGCAAGTAAGCAAGCAAGCAAGTAAGTAAGCAAGCAAGTAAGTAAGCAAGTAAGTAAGTAAGTAAGTAAGCAAGTAAGCAAGTAAGCAAGTAAGCAAGTAAGTAAGCAAGTAAGCAAGAAAGCAAGTAAGTAAGCAAGCAAGTAAGTAAGCAAGCAAGCAAGTAAGCAAGCAAGTAAGCAAGCAAGCAAGTAAGCAAGCAAGTAAGCAAGAAAGTAAGCAAGTAAGTAAGTAAGAAAGCAAGCAAGTAAGAAAGCAAGTAAGTAAGCAAGCAAGTAAGTAAGCAAGTAAGCAAGTAAGCAAGTAAGGAAGTAAGCAAGTAAGCAAGCAAGCAAAATGTACTTTTATTATTTATTTACGACCTTTTTTGACATACTAATTCCACACTGCATGCGAAACACAAACCTAAAGAGATTAGGCAAAAAGTAGATTGAAAGTTAAATATTCTGTACTTTTGGGCTTTTAAAAACGACCTTTATTTGTTCTTTTATTAGACAAATGTCCCGTCTTCAGAGACTCAAAGGTTTAAAACAAAGAAAGTTGCTGTTTATTATTTATTTTTACGACGTTCACAGTGTTTACAGATATTTGAATGAACTTGACAAGAATAAAAGGAGCTGGGATGAAAACTGAAATGGGGTTATAGATAGAAAACACGCAGAGAGGAGAAAGACAAAAACAGAAGAACTGGATGCTTATTAAACTGAGGAGTCGGCCAGCACTGATCAAACAGCAGGACACACACACACACACTCCCCCCCCACACACACACACACACTCCCTCCCCCCCACACACACACTAATCCTGGCTCGTCTCCTGTCCTCTTTCTATATTTTTGCCAAACCTGTGGCTGGTGGTTGCCATGATGAGAAACAAAAGAAGGGAGGGCAACAAGCGTGTGTGTGTGTGTGTGTGTGTGTGTGTGTGTGTGTGTGTGTGTGTGTGTGTGTGTGTGTGTGTGTGTGTGTGTGTGTGTGTGTGTGTGTGTGTGTGTGTGTGTGTGTGTGTGTGTGTGTGTGTGTGTGCACCACAGGGTTAATCAGCAGAGACAAAAGAGGCGTTTTGGGGATGAGCTTCTCAGCGCTGGAACATCAACACAGTGAAAGTGAATTAAAAAGCCTCCTGCAGGAAAGTGAATGACACAGACGGACCCCCCCCCCCCCTCCCCCATAGACTGCCGCTAAGCACCATGGGAGATATGATGGCAGGACAAGAGGAAGGTGGGCGAGATCTTAAAGAAAACACACGTGCTGTTTTGGCATCGCGGGGTGAGAAAACAAACTGACTTCTCATTGGTCACGGTCACTTAAATCAATATGTATAAAGTGCTTTTCTCTGTTAGTTGGATGGATAGATAGATAGATAGATAGATAGATAGATAAGATAGATAGATAGATAGATAGATAGATAGATAGATAGATAGATAGATAGATAGATAGATAGATAGATAGATAGATAGATAGATAGATAGATAGATAGATAGATAGATAAGATAGATAGATAGATAGATAGATAGATAGATAGATAGATAGATAGATAGATAGATAGATAGATAGATAGATAGATAGATAGATAGATAGATAGATAGATAGATAGATAGATAGATAGACAGACAGATAGACTAGATAGATAGATAGATAGATAGATAGATAGAGAAGACAGACAGATAGACTAGATAGACAGAGAGATAGAAGAGATAGAGAGATAAGAGAGATAGACAGACAGACAGATAGATAGATAGATAGAGATAGATAGATAGATAGATAGATAGATAGATAGATAGATAGATAGATAGATAGATAGATAGATAGATAGATAGATAGATAGATAGATAGATAGATAGATAGATAGATAGATAGATAGATAGATAGATAGATAGATAGATAGATAGATAGATAGATAGATAGATAGATAGATAGACAGACAGATAGACAGATAGACAGAGAGAGAGATAGAGAGATAGACAGACAGATAGATAGATAGATAGATAGATAGATAGATAGAGAGATAGAGAGATAGAGAGATAAAGAGATAGACAGACAGATAGATAGATAGATAGATAGATAGATAGATATAGATAGATAGATAGATAGATAGATAGATAGATAGATAGATAGATAGATAGATAGAGAGATAGAGAGATAGAGAGATAGACAGACAGATAGATAGATAGAGAGATAGGTAGATAGATAGATAGATAGAGAGATAGAGAGATAGAGAGATAAAGAGATAGACAGACAGATAGATAGATAGAGAGATAGAGAGATAGAGAGATAGAGAGATAGGGATGAAACTCTCTTTAATGGTCTCACATGCAGAGCACACAGCACACACAGTGGCATGTGTTCTCTGCTTTTAACCCATCCTAGTACCAGGAGTCTCGTACTAGGAGAAGTGGGCAGCTATTGATAAATGGATGGAACAGCGTCTGATTTTAAGGTACGTTTTGTTGCAAACCCCCCCTTTGTTTCTGGGCGAAATCTTCTAAACCGTGCTCTGGAAAGTGCCACAAGTTTGCATGAATGCTTTTCCCTTTTACTCCAATAGCCCTAGCTTCACCTTAGCTAACGTTATGCTAAGCATCCCCCTCACAAATGACAGTTTCTTGGGTATGTGTGTCTGTGCCAGGATTTCCTACAGGAACTCTGGAGAGGGTCAATGTTATGGATGTTTTGCACTGGTGGCCAAAGCAATATGCTAATCACAGCGCTAGCAAAGCAGCATGAGGGAGAAATAAATACCTTATTGTATTTGTTTATTTGGCAGGGACATTGCACATTAATGAACACTTAAAACATGAAATATGCCAAGTATGAATATGCCGGATTTAGCTTTGAGCTACTTTCCATCCGCAGTCCCTCACGTAAAACATTAAGAAAATGAGAATTACAAACATAGCACATGTGCAAATACATAAAATGCAAGAAAAGTGCAAGAGTAAGAATACCCAAGTATTTAGGACATGGTAATACAATATATTTATATTATTTAATAGTTATTTTCTTGCTGTTATTGTTTATAGTAAATGTATTCTTAGTTATTGTCGTTATTGAAGTGAGTTAAAGGTCCGCTATTATACTGTCTTTCATCAGTATATTACAGGTCTCAGATATACACCAAAAGAGGCTGCATTATTCAATCCAATTCACAGCCAAAGACTGAAATCTCATGAAAGTGTCGCTCTGATGGCAGGAGCAGAGAATAACACGCAGGAGGAAACAGCTGACGGTTCACGTGATGAATACTTTCCACGAGTTATTAAAGAGACGCATTTCTGTGAAGCGATTACATTGATCTCTGCTATAAAAAGACTCCAGCTCTTATGAAATCAATCCAGGGAAAACCAGAGCAAACCTCCTCTGCTGTACACACCCACCCCCACACACACACACACACACACACTCAGTGAGTCATGCTGTGTGGAGGTGGAGGTGCATGCAGATCTCTTTCTGAAAGATAACGAGGTTTCAAACACCTGAAGACTCTCCTGTTCAGCATTTTATTAAATTAAACAAGAAGTCATTTCTTACACAGAGCTGGGGTTGCAACACTAGCTTCAGTATGATAAAATAAAATACATTATTATATAAATAATTATTTGTATTATTATTACTGTTTTATAGAGCAAACCATAGAAGATAATGGAATGAAAATAATTGCAGCAGCAGCAATAATTACTGCCTTTTATATTAATTATTTCTTCACTTCCTGGCCCAAAAACTCAAGAACAGATTCAGGTTCTCTGATATTTCAAAGACTTCAGGCAGTGTGAGCCTCAGTGTGTCCCCTAAGTAAGCAAGCGTGTGTGTGTGTGTGTGTGTGTCTGTGTGTGTGTGTGTGTGTCTGACCTTCTTGTGTGCGCTGAAGATCCTCCTGAAGGAGTCTGGGTTCTTCTCGGCTGTTTTCCCTGTTGGAGGCCGGCGGGGGGGCCGAGGCGCCCGGGCCACCATCCTGAGGCCGTCCTCCGAGAAATCAAGGACCTCTGCAGACAAAAAAACACACACACACACACACAGAAATGAGAGGAGAATCTTTACTGCACGTCTGTGTCATGTGTTTTAGGTTGATAGTCCGAAATAAGGTCGGTGGTGGACACAAGCTGAAGAGATTTTATTCTACGACATAAAATAGGTCAGTAAATACCTTACTGGTGAATTTAGAAACGGCGGTTGTGTGTGTGTGTGTGTGTGTGTGTGTGTGTGTGATGACAGTTTGCTGCTATGAGGGTCAAAATGAAGTGCTGTGTATGACTGATATGGTGTGTGTGTGTGTGTGTGTGTGTGTGTGTGTGTGTGCGTGTGTACATATCAACATGACACAGAGCTAATCTCTACAGTCACCAGTTACACAAACACAACTCCACTTCCTGTGTACTACATCTTTTATTTTGAGATACCAACACATCGTTTTAGATACTTACTTGTTATTATTTTGCTATAACAAAGCATTATTTTTTACATACTACATTATTTACAGAAGGTTGTCATTGAAAATGTCTCATTGTGTTTCAATACGAGGCCATAATAACAAAGAAAGTCGTTGTTTTCAACAAGTTACATTATTTTTGTTATACCAACTCATTCTTTTGGGATCGTTTGTCATTATAACGCCTTCAGGGAACTTTTTAACGTTTTTCGGAAATTGTAGGAACTGTTATTTTTATGTTGGAATCTTTATTTTTCCCCATAACAATTTTTTGTAATGGTTTAAAGTTGTTCAAATGAACTTGACATATGGTGACAATTTACCTAAAGTAAGGTTCTTGGTAGGGATGGGTACCGAGCCCCGGGGCTGAATTATTAAAGACCGTGGTACCGTTAAGCTCCGACGTTATCGGTCTTTTTATCGGTACTGGAGACATGTCAAATATATCTCATGTGTATTATTGCTACACAAACATTATATTGCAGTTTTAGTGTCGCCAACTCCGTTTCTAATATGCAAAAAGACAGCAAAATGCATCTATGATTATTTTTAGTATTTTCAATCTTTCCAATCCAGGCGAGAGATCTCTCTCTCCCGTCTGTGTGCGAGGGGGCAGGGCAGTTTACACACACACTCTGCTACATGCAGCAACACACACACGGAGGGGATGGCGGAGAGAACGCGCTCCGAGGTGTGGTTAAACTTTACCCGTCTCGATGTGGACAATGCTCGTTACCAAAAGTACAATAAGAGTTTAGCATGTCAGGGCGGTAACACGAGCAATTTGTCTAAACATTTAGCAAAAGTGCACCACATCCAGACGGAGGAATGCACCGGGTTCGACTGTCTTTCTAGTAGCGCTGTAGCCCCATCCACGAGTAACATTTCCACGTGAGGTGTTATGTATGCTAGCAGCGACACGGAGCTAACTCGATGATACAAACATGGGTTAATGATTAGAGGGAACGGAGTTATTTAATTTGTTAAAGTTTCAGCTATCCTGTTTACAGTTCTGTCATCAGATTATTTAATACCATTTGTTAAAACATTGTTGTTTCTTTTGATGTGAAATATTATTTATTTAATTTAAAGTGGACCTATCATGCTATATTATAATAATATAGTGTAGGACCATACCTATATAAGGCATATTTATACTTTTTTTCCCTTCAAAATACCAAACAGGCCATGCCTCATTTCGCTCAATTTGACAATTTCTAGCTCTGGGCAGATTCAGTGAGAACAGCACCACCTACAGGCCTGGCATATGTACTACAGCGTCTCCAGCGCTTTCGAACGGCAATGGCCGTGGCTGTCTCCTCCTGATTGGTGGAGTTGGCCCAATAGCCGTAGCGCCACCGTCCTGACGTCAGGACAGTGTTCAAATCTGGATCAGTTTTTATCAGATCCGTTGCAGCCCCTTTTTTAGAGATTTGGGTATGGAGGAAAATAGAGAGGGTTGTGTTTTCTGACACTTGGTGAGTTCCCTGGAACACCGGGGACACATATTCATGTAGAAAAGACGTACACAAGTGCATTTTGCATGATAGGTCCCCTTTAAATAAAAAGCAATGTTAGTTTTGTTCACAATTTCTTTAGTTAGTTTACCTTATTTTTTTCTCTCAAAGAACCGATAGGAGTACCGTTAAAAGACCGGATCGATAAGCGCTATCGATAAAAGTAGTAGTACCTGTTCGTATCCTGCTCTCCTTCTCGGCGTTCTTCTTGGTCTCCTTGCTCGGTCTGTCCAGCCTCTCGAGTCTCTCCGTCCTCTCGAGGGCCTCCAGCCTCTCCAGAGCCTCGAAGGGATCCGGAGGTTCTTCCGTTGGCGTTTCCTCCATCGGCTCCATCGGGGCTCGCTTAGCGGCGGCTTCCTTCTTCGCTCTTCTCCTCGCTTTCGCTCCGCTGTCGTCCTCGTCGTCGTCTTCTTCTCCGTCGCTGTTGCTCATATCGTCGAAGCCGAAGTACTGGATCTTGTAGCTGTTTTCGGCGCTGTTGTTCTCCTCCTGATGGCCCTCTGCTGCGTCTTCGAAACCGAAACTCTCCAGCTTACTGTCCTTCTTTGACTTTGTCTGCGTTGGTTTGAACCTGAAGCGAGGATAGAAACACATTGTTTACAACTCAGGAAGAAGACAAAGAAATCCAGTGCTGAAGGGATGTTGTATTTCCGAGTTGACCCTGAAGGCAGCATCTCCCTGGTCCAATAGGAGTCCCCATGTGATTTTGTATTATGTCAGAAAATAAACTCTGTGTCAAACAAACATTTATTATACTTCGATGTGTTGTTCAGCAGGATCATCTCCACATATCAACACTTTATGATTTCTGAAGTAAAAAGCTAATGTTGGGCTATAAAGGAACTACAGCACGGTCACATGACTTCACGTCACCACCGCTAAGCTAAAGGAGGCTAATGTTGGGCTATAAAGGAACTACAGCACGGTCACATGACTTCACGTCACCACCGCTAAGCTAAAGGTGGCTAATGTTGGGCTATAAAGGAACTACAGCACAGTCACATGACTTCACGTCACCACCGCTAAGCTAAAGGAGGCTAATGTTGGGCTATATAGGAACTACAGCACAGTCACATGACTTCACGTCACCACCGCTAAGCTAAAGGAGGCTAATGTTGGGCTATAAAGGAACTACAGCACAGTCACATGACTTCACGTCACCACCGCTAAGCCAAAGGAGGCTAATGTTGGGCTATAAAGGAACTACAGCACGGTCACATGACATCACGTCACCACCGCTAAGCTAAAGGTGGCTAATGTTGGGCTATAAAGGAACTACAGCACGGTCACATGACTTCACGTCACCACCGCTAAGCTAAAGGTGGCTAATGTTGGGCTATAAAGGAACTACAGCACGGTCACATGACTTCACGTCACCACCGCTAAGCTAAAGGTGGCTAATGTTGGGTTATAAAGGAACTACAGCACGGTCACATGACTTCACGTCACCACCGCTAAGCTAAAGGTGGCTAATGTTGGGCTATAAAGGAACTACAGCACGGTCACATGACTTCACGTCACCACCGCTAAGCTAAAGGTGGCTAATGTTGGGCTATAAAGGAACTACAGCACGGTCACATGACTTCACGTCACCACCGCTAAGCTAAAGGTGGCTAATGTTGGGCTATAAAGGAACTACAGCACGGTCACATGACATCACGTCACCACCGCTAAGCTAAAGGTGGCTAATGTTGGGCTATAAAGGAACTACAGCACGGTCACATGACTTCACGTCACCACCGCTAAGCTAAAGGTGGCTAATGTTGGGCTATAAAGGAACTACAGCACGGTCACATGACTTCACGTCACCACCGCTAAGCTAAAGGTGGCTAATGTTGGGTTATAAAGGAACTACAGCACGGTCACATGACTTCACGTCACCACCGCTAAGCTAAAGGTGGCTAATGTTGGGCTATAAAGGAACTACAGCACGGTCACATGACATCACGTCACCACCGCTAAGCTAAAGGTGGCTAATGTTGGGCTATAAAGGAACTACAGCACGGTCACATGACTTCACGTCACCACCGCTAAGCTAAAGGTGGCTAATGTTGGGCTATAAAGGAACTACAGCACGGTCACATGACTTCACGTCACCACCGCTAAGCTAAAGGTGGCTAATGTTGGGTTATAAAGGAACTACAGCACGGTCACATGACTTCACGTCACCACCGCTAAGCTAAAGGTGGCTAATGTTGGGTTATAAAGGAACTACAGCACGGTCACATGACTTCACGTCACCACCGCTAAGCTAAATGTGGCTAATGTTGGGCTATAAAGGAACTACATGTTTTAAGACTCATTCCTGCGACACGATGGATATAAGAATTGATTTATAAAATGATGCACTAAGGTCAGGTGGCTCCAGTAAAACATGAACCACATTTTAATTAACATTTTCACTCTTCCCTGTTGAGGAAACTAATCTGGTAATTATAGCAGATGAAAGCAAACTTAAAGGTAGGGTAGGTAAGTTTGAGAAACCGGCTCGAGATACACTTGTTGTTATATTCCATGGAATGCTCTTAACATCCCGATAGCAATGAATATCTGAAGTGCTTTGACAAAAAATCCATAAAGAAATATCATCTGTGGAAGCTGTAGTACTGTAAAAAGCACGACCAATCATCTGAGCCGGCCCGGCTAAAATAACTGGATGGCCTACCTGCCTGTCAGCCTTCCATCTGTGCACAAACTTATCTCGTGCCCTCATTGGTCATGTGCGCGTTCGTGTGTGTTGGAGGAGGGGCTCTGTAAGGAAGTGGCACATTTTCTCCGGTTGTGTATTTTCAAATTCTAGCGCACTCGAGCTGATTTCTCAAACTTACCTACCCTACCTTTAAATGAAAATGTGTCAACATGTCTGACTGAATGAATCGTCCTTTGGAAAAAGCATTGAATGATACTCAAGCTTTTACCTGGAACCTTTCATTAAGAGATGAAAACATGCATGAAATGAAAAAAATGTTTCACAGAACGATAACCTGTCTTTTCTGAGAGCCTTTGCGTTACGGACGTTTCTCAGTGAAAGCCTCCGGACAGAAAGAGGTTGTGAAATCACACAGAAAGAAATGTAAATGTCTACCCTTCTGGAAATAGGTGCCATCGTTTTGATTCCTTTACTCAGGGATGAAATCTGAATTCATCTACAATCATGTCAACGTTTCTCCATTTCCCCGTTAGATTGATCATTCTGATTCCACTTAGTGGCATATACATTTTCTAGCAGGTCGTTCCAGCTCTTCATTTAAGATTCAGGATGTTTCCAATATCAAATAAGGGTTTGTAGATTTTAGAAAATCACATAACCCAAAATACTCTAAAAATAATGTTCTTGTGTTTTGATACCAACTCTTTTCAGAACGTTCCCTTTGTAATCATTATTTAAAAAGTCCTTATCCTGGGAACATTTGTTTTCATAATGACTTTTTAAATAAAAGCTTACATTTTGACTTTGTCCTGAAATGTTGTGGTGTGTGTGTGTGTGTGTGTGTGTGTGTGTCTCTTACCTTGTGTTTAGTATCTCAGTTTTCTTCCGTTGCCACCCGGCCTCTCCCAGCTCCACGCTGTTGTTCCCCGACGCGGCGCCGCTGCTCCCGCTGGAGGGCGCTGCGTCCGCACTGAACTCCTCCCCCCCCCGGTCCTGGATGGTGACGTTACACATGGACACGGAGGAGGGTAGAAGCACCGTGAAGTCTCTGTTCCTTCCTCTTCCTCTTCCTCCTCCTCCCTCTACTGTGGTCTTATCACTACCTCCGTCAGACGCAGATTTGGGCGGATCTGAGACAGAGTCCGATGTTTTTCCCTTGTTGGGCCTCCTGTACGTCCGACAGTTTGTGTTTCTGAGCAGCGGCGAAGAGGAGGAGGAGGAGGAGGAGGTCGTCTGCGTCTGCGAGGAATCCGTCGTCTCCATGAGGAAATCCAAGTCTCCCCCGAAGTCCTCGCTCAGGTTGGGGCTCCGCGGCGGAGACGGGGGTTTCTGATGTTGTGCGGAAACTCCCGCTGTTGCCCAGGAGAGCGTTGGAGCCGGGTTACGAGGCTCCTGGATGCTGGGGGACGGAGGGCGGAGACCCATGATGTCGTCCCACGCGTCGTACGAGCATTCTGCTTTTGCCCCCGTTTTCAAAGTGGTGGTCTGAGGCAGCGGCTTCTTGTCGCTCTCCGAGGCGTTCAGGTACCACGAGTAGCTGTGCTGAGGCTCTGAGGAAGACGAGGAGGAGCTCGGAGGATTTCCTACGGGAGGAAACGGAATCAGAATCGTCAAATATTGTAAATGTTTATTTTAAAGAAGCCCTATTTCTACTTTTTTGGGGTTTTCCCTTTTCCTGTAATGTGTTCTATACATCCACTGTAAAGCAAAAACAAGTTTATTCTGCTAGCCAAGGGGTACCACACAAAGAGAAAACAACTTGTGCTAGTTGTATGTGTGGAAGAGCGGAGGGAAGCTCCCCCTCTTGGTAAACTATATTATCATCGACAGTCTCAGTTCTTGACGTCTTTAAATATTGCCAGACTTAGCAGAACGAGTGTGTTCATAGTGATTGCACCTCAAAAAGCACCTTTACACACTGAGGAGAAAGAATCAGTTCCGTCAAATATTGTAAATGAAATTGTAAAAAAGGCCCTATTCTGCTTTTTGGGGTTTTCCCTTTCCTGTAATGTGTTCTATATGCATAAGTTCTCTGCAAAGCTAAAACTAAATCTAATGTATTCTGCTAGCCAAGGGGACCTCGACCTGATGCTGACTCAGAAAGCTGGCTACTAAATACCACAGAAAACAACTTGTGCTAGTTGTATGTGGGGAAGAGCGGAGGGAAGCTCCCCCTCTTGGTAATTATCATGGACAGTCTCAGCTCTTGACGTCTTTAAATATTGCCGCTTCACTATCATTTCAGAGGTGGTAGCTTTTGACTCCTTTGTTTACTTCCGGAACATCAGCTATCAGCTCTGAGCACAGAATTAGTTGTTGGTTAACTTCACAGAACGAGTGTGTGCATAGTGATTGCACCACAAAAAGCAAGGGTACCACGACCTGATCCTGACTCAGAACACACACACACACACACACACACACACACACACACACACACACACACACACACACACACACACACACACACACACACACACATCACACACACACACACACACACACACACCACACACACACACACACACACACACACACACACACACACACACACATCACACACACACACACACACACACACACACACACACACACACACACCACACACACACACACACACACACACACACACACACACACACACACACACACACACACAACACACACACATCACACACACACACACACACACACACACACACACTACACACACACACACACACACACACACACACACACACACACTCACACTCACACTCACACTCACACTCACACTCACACTCACACTCACACTCACACTCACACTCACACTCACACTCACACTCACACTCACACTCACACTCACACTCTCTCTGTGGGTTTATAAAACGGTGTTGTTGAAGAGGCGTAAAGCTAGAAAGTAGGTCAACTTGCTACCTAACTTTCAGAACTTAAAACTCACAAAGGAACATCGACCTCTCACATCAAGATATCCAAATGAAACTTGGTTTTATGGATACCTAGAAACAAATTCCCCAATGTATAGAGTGGTGCAGTGACGCGTCCTAAAACCCGGAAGTAAGCTGCCGGTTCCTTCCGGTTCCTTCGTCAAAAAGCAAAAAGCAATTTCTCCATAGGATTTTGGAAAATAGCTGGAAATAAGGTCTGTGGTTGAGACACATTTAAGAGACGGGTCACGTTTTGTTCAGCCGGATAATATCCACATCACATTGGTTTCTCATACAGCATCTCTGTAAAGTATGTGTATTCACTCTCTGTCCTAAACGGCTTGTTGGAGCTCCTGCCCCCCCCCCTCCCTGTGAGCCCAGTGTGCTCTGATTGGTTGGGACGTTGCGAGGAGCGGACAGGTTTCCGGGTCGGCGATACAGCGAGAACAAGCGAAACTCATCCTGAGCACACACAAACACTCACAGACGAAGTAAAAACAATAAGTGTGGCTTGATATTGAGTAAGAAAAAGGTTTATAACGCTGTGAGAATGGGTCTGCAGAGAGCATTTCTCCAGCATCCCAACTCGTCTATTACCAGCATTCAGGGAGCTCGATGCAAGTCAATGGGACTCCCTGTTAGTTAGCCAAGGGATCCTGGTGTGTGAGGTGCTCCGCGGATTGGTCCATTTGGGCCAATCCGGTCATTTGTTGTTGATTTGGGTGTTCACACGTCACAGAACCCAGGAAGTGGAAAATGAGAAATCTCCAACGAGGCGTTCTGGGGCAGCATAGACAAGTCTTTTCCGTGTTAGAGTTTTACTCGCTACAGGGTGTACTTTGAGGGTTTGTGACTCTGCAGACCGTTTACATGCAGAAACACCTTCATAACACACAAGGGGACGGGTCATAACCGGAAAAGCAGCTTTAAGATCCATATTCAAACACACAGATTCAAAATGGTACGAGTTGAAGCGTTTGTTTGAACAGTCTGCAGGAGGCAGGTACTTGCTTTCAAGCAGAACAGGGCAAACAAACTTAGAGGAGTGTTTACGTGTTCGGTGTAATGACGTACAACGACCTCCACAACTTCTGTAGTCCTATTCAGCCACTTGGTAACAACCATCGCTTTTCAGACACGTCAACTCTTCAGAAATCACCAGTGGGGTCACTGCTGATGGATTTAATGTCGTAGAACAAAACGTGATCCGTCTCTTCAATGTGTCTCAACCACAGACCTTATTTACAGCTATCCCATTGGCTCTGAGACGAGGGAACAGGAAGTGGAGAAATGCTGACTCACTTCCGGGTTTTAGGACGTGTCACTGCACCACTCTATTGACTTAATGGGCATCTATTATTATTTTTGACATTTTATAGATGAATGACTAGATAACACAGATACAGAAGCAGCACTGTCCAGATCCACGCAGGCTTAAAGGCTTCTGCGTATTAGATTATATCTTATTGTCCTTGCACAGTTTGCATCCAACCACAAAGTGCAAAGAGGAGTAACGAGCACGAGGTTTCAATTAATTCACATAACAGAATCACGCTGTAGTAATCATGTAAAACTGAATGAATGTCTTGAAGAAGGGTTTGTTTACTCCTGATAAGAGGACATAAGTCATGCTGAACCACCACTGAAGTAAAGTAACTTCCCAATTTGTGCAACTCACGTTTATTTGTTCTCTCAATGTATTTACAATTGGCATACGGCACCAGCTACCTCTTTCATTCTATATGGTCACAAACAAATATATACACTGCTACTCTTTCCCATGGGGTACTTCTGCTGCTTACTGCAATGTTTCTGTTGTTGATAACGTGTGCATTCGTAGTTATTTTAAAACCACCAGACTCAGAGACACTTTCATCCCACAGGCCTTAAGACTTTTGAAACATCCAGAACATTCATCTGGCTGCAACTTAAAAATGATTTATCTAATATATCATATTCCAATCACTTGTATATAGACAGGGTATATGCAGGAATCCTGAAGTCACATGTAACACCTTTCAAGACCTTTTTTAAGACCCTTTCCATACATTTTAAGACCTCATCGCCACTTCGAACTCTAACCGGTTACCTTGGCGACACACTTTACCTCACATTGACTATACACAGTATTGACTTATCTTCCAACCATTTGGACGCAGACTTGCATTTCCCCATAACCATGTTGTTTAACAACCGGCGTAAACGGGCCTTCGCGCGTTATCAAGCAGTGAGCGTGCGATGTCCTGTTCAGATGACGTCCAATCCAACGGGTTGCCATAAATAAACTACACAGAATCACACTACACACCTACGCAATGATTACATTCAGGCAGACTGTAGAATACAACCTCTTTGGACCATTTATATACTTATTGAAAACAAGCTACAAAATGTAATACCTTGGAAAATGCCCTTTAATACTTTTTAAGACCCCGCGGACCCCCTGATAGACTCTCCTTGCACTATTCTGTTCTATTTTATTTGTATTTACTGGCACTATTTTAACTATTTAGACTCTGTTATATTGTGTTGCCCCGTTGGAGGAGCCTGTGACCTCAGATTGTCATTGACATATCTGCACTGTAGCTACGTACACATGACAATAAAAGCCTTGAATCTTGAATGTCATATGTTGGCCTTAACACTAGAACACTCAAGACCTTCCCAGGTTCAGAGGTCTCTGTCTGTGTATTACCTGTAGTAGCAGTGCTGCTGTTGAAGAAGCGCGCCGTGTCCTCCACAATCCGGGGGGGCTGGCTCCTGTCGTTGTTCATCCACGAGGAGGCCCCTCTGGAAGCCGTCAGAGCGTGGGACCCACCCCCCTGAAGGCTGGACATGCTCCCCATGTTCAGAGAGAGCCCCGCCCCCGGTCTCTCTGCCTGGGGGGGCTCGGCAGCGCTGGGTTTAGCAGGGGACGACTTGCTGCGAGACGACACCGGCTTGGACTCCTCGTCGCTGTCGAAGCCGAACGGATCCTCCATGCCGTCTCCGCTCGGACGGGGTCTCTTGTAGACCTCCAGAACCGAGTCATTTTTGGGCGCTCCGGCACGCTTTGAGCCCACCTTGGCTTTGTAGGTGGTGTCGCCCCATTTGGTGCTGAGGGTGCCTCTCTTGGTGGACAGAACCTCGTCGAACTTGGACGTGCCCTCCCCCCCCTTACGGCTGTAGGTTTTACCGAATCTGGATGTCATTGTTGCATCTGGGTCATTTCTCTAGAGGACGAGAGGGGGGATTATTTAAGAGTACAAACAAACAAACGTCCATGATAGACCACCACACATAAGGCGCGTTCACACCAAGTACTTTGCCGTATTTCGTGCCGGCACTTATTACCCCAGGGCATTTAGTACAGATCGCGTTCACACCGGAGTACTTTTCCCTGAGGGAAGATTACGCAAATGAGCCGCTGACGTCACTTCGTCTTCTTCTGCTTTGGGTTTACTGGCAGGTCGCAAACAACTTCACGGCGTATACTGCCATCCGGAGTCCCCGGCCGCAAGTCCCCGGAGTTGGGGACTGGCTTCAGTCGAAGCTGCTGGGACTCCCAGCAGCTTCTACTGAAGCCTTCCAAGTAAATCGCCAGAACACCGACACCTCCTCATCTCCACCGCTCCCATGTTTTATTTTGTGTTGCCATAAGTTAGTCTCTCTGCGTTTGTGCGCTGGGCGAATGCTAATGCTAATAATGCTAATGCCAGGATAATAAAATGGCGGCTCTACAAAACATTTCAGAGTTGTACGGGGCGTGGTTTGCAATTCGCCCAGCCAATCAGAACTGGGGCACTTTTTTCCCCCAGGAAAGTACCATCTCTCAGCAGGCACTAAAAATGGGGGTAAAAGTTCCCGAGATGAAGTGCTCTTTTTGGTGTGAACGCGACATAAGGGGTACTAACGGAACTAAACGCGAAAAGTACGGTGAAAAGTACTCCGGTGTGAACGCGGCTATAGACTGTTATTTATACATATTTATATACATGTTTTTATTGTGTTGAGGGACAAAGAGACACTGAGATGTGTTACTAACTGTAAAGCACTCACTCATCACTGTACCCTGTATGCCAGGGCTGCCTTCACTAACTGTACGGAGGCTCAGTCATTGGTACATGTTCATCTACAAATCCATGTTGGGTAAACTCCCATCTTATATCTGCTCTCTGATCACACAGAGAGTTGCAGGTAGCTATTGCCTGAGATCACATGATGTGGTTTTGTTAAATGTGCCAAGGACTGTCTGCAAAAAGATTTGAAACTGAGCAATTTGGTTCCACTACCTGTTTTTAAAGCTCGGATAGATGCTATGCAATCTGAGACTGTTGGTACCTGTCATTGTCTCTAGCCCTGTAAATATGATGTATGCTGTCCTTTATTGTTTTCTGTTGTTTTATGTATTCATGTGGAACCTACTTCAGGGTTCATACACTTTTTCACCAATGACTTCTCCATGACCTTTACCTAATTTTCCATGACCAAAGAAATGACTCTTTCTCAGCGGTACCACTGAAAATGGTTTATTTTAACATGGAACAGGAAAATAAGGTCTGCATCTGAAACATGTTGTGCCTAATCTAAAACAAATCAAATAGGCTTACTAGCTTATACAGGCTAAAGCAACTAAAATCTCTCACCAGCAAAATACCTCGACAATTAAATGCCATTTTACGTTTCATTACTATACCATACAGTATTTATTATCATTATAGTATTACTATTTCGGCGATTAGATAAAATATAAATTATATTTGATGCAACTTTAGTTACATTTCCATGACTTTTCCAGGGCCTGGAATTAGCATTTTTTCAATTTCCATGACTTTTCCAGGTTTTCAATGACCGCTACTTGCTGCAGGTCTCCCTTGAAAAAGAGACCAATGATCTCAATGGGACCTACCTGCTTAAATAAAGGTTTGAAATGAAAATAAGGGATTCTGATCTACATTGACAAAGTGGATCAGAAAGGCTTTTATTAAAGTTCCTTCTCACCAACTATGTGGATGTGTTTTTGTTAACAGACTGAACAACAGAAACTTAAAGCTATCAGCTGTGATGCTAGCAGGGGAAATATGACTGATATGACATAAAGAAAACAAACTAATGGAGGGAAGACAAACCCATACACTGTATAGGACAAAGCAAACATTAAAACCTGGTGACATTTTTGTTACAAAATCACTATTAACGTTATTATCTCGAGTTGTTAGTGACGCTAGCCGTTAGCTTAGCATGAAACTCAGCAGACTGGAGCTAGCTTCGGGCTAACGGCTAACAATAATATATTAATAACAATAACTACAAGCTGACACAATGTGGCTCCACGAGGCACACATACAAACATAAGCAGTTTTATAACAGGGCACTAACACCAACTGGTGATTATATTTATATATATTTTAACACTTACTTGGTTTTGTAAAGATCCTCCGGCCTGTTTCTCAGTTTATAAACAAGGCCCAACGGAACCTTTTAACGGTGAATCAGCGGGTTTGAAACACACAGGCGGGAAGACAGACTCAGATGAAATGTTTAATGTGTAGTTAGTTTACTGGTTTAATTAAATAATACTCCTATTTTTAAAGCTTAAATCAGAATCGATTGTTTCCTTCGGTTCGCGAGACGAAGCTTCCATTGGAGTCAGAGTCAAGTTAACGGGACATAACCGGAAGTTGGGTGGTGTGTGTTAACAAAGTAAAAGGAGGATACAACCAACGGAAGGAAGATTGTATATAAAATGAGTGAAATGTTTTAATATGTAAATTATATATTAAAAATAGGGATTTACTAAAAAATATTTATGCATACAAATATAATGTAATTATAATTTGATGCATTATTTTGTTGTTTTTTGGCTCGTTGTTTTTCTTTAGTTTTATTTTGAAATTCATAACCGGAACGGCTAGTATGTCATATGTTTATATATACAGTCTATGGTTTAGCCTAACCAGTAGTCAAGCCATAACAAATTCTGCGTTCAAGTACTCCCATGAAACTCGTTCAAATGTACATTTTCAAAGACGGAGTGTAAAATGCGGCATAAATGTTTCAGGAGTAAAACGGAACATAGAAACAAAACTCATCAGAGTTAATGGAAAAACGAAATTGGGTTATTGTATAAAAGGGATTATTGTCAAATGTATTTGCTGTAAAACACTGTTAGCTAGAAAGGTAGTTTTCCTTTTTCACATAATAAAAATAAATGACCATGAACGCCCCCATACTGTCAGTTATTATACATGTATTGAAAATGTTCTTACCTCCATTTTCCTTCAAACCTATAATAATCCAAAAACACTATTCTGACACTTATATATAAAAAAATAAATGACTGTCAATAACTGAATTGTTGCTTACGGTAAGCTTCATAAAACGAATACTTTTCAGCTTTACTTGACTTTAGACAGAGAAACACAAATGGTGGAAAGATTTTATTAAACCAAGAATGTCAGTTACTTTTTATATTAAAATCTTCACGCCTCAATTTGTACTTGTCTGATTTATCTGGGATTGCAAATAGACACAAAGACACAACCAAGGGACACAACATGACCGCAAAGTGGGAAGGTACTTTTGGGGGAAATTTACGTTATCAGAAACAGTTCAGAAACGTTTAGATTTTTTGTGGCAATCTGTTTTTTTTGTTGTAGTAAAGCATTTGTCTTTTATTTGTTAAGCTCCTTGAATTCAAACCAATCCTTCATAAGTATATAACACCCCTTGTTGTTTAACCCGTGTATGGTGTTCGGGTCTGTGGGACCCGTTTTCATTATTTAGCTAAAGAAAAATGATATGATAAATTATTTTTTCAAACTCACACTCAATGGCCTTGGCTCATTTTCTGTGAAGAACATATATCAGAACACATTTTTAATGACCACCCACTGTAAAAGGCAGCGGGTCCACCAGACCCACGAACACTGGCTGAGTAACAAAAATATGATCACCACACAAGGGTTAATACCAACTATGTGCAATATATACTGTATATATGGCGTTAATAACTATAATATACCTGGCTGTCATATCTTCAGAACTGTTACAGGATGTGTATTTTGTAAATTGTTTTATCTTTAATATTTTATTTTAGGCTGTCTTTGGCTCTTTTCTGCTGTAACAATATACATTTCCCGTCTGTAGGACGAACAAAGGTATTCTGATTCTGATCCTGATTCTGATACCCACAAGAGAAATTGTATTTATTATCTGTGGACTATTTCCATCCTTGTGTTGTCCATGTTTCTGTCTGTTTGTTCAGGGCGGTCGGGTCATGTTGGCGTCGCGCCTCGATTCTACAAACCTCAGAAACCTGTTACTGCTGAGCCTGGCACAAAACCCCCAAAACCCCCTGCTGGTGCCATGAGAGGTTCTATGTCCTCACAATAAAGAGAGGTTGGTGGTTGTGGAGATCCTGGCAGAGGCAGAGGTTTTTGCGAAGAGGCATCACACAGTTTTTGGATAAAAGGACGAGCACCAGGGCTGGCGTCGGTGCTTCTTTAAAAAACAATTAGACATGCAGCAGATAGGCAGCTGCAGGATAAACAATCTGGCAAAGACGGAGACGAAGGACGCCAAATGACCCACCACCCGGATTAAATTACTTTTTAAGAAGAGGAGGGTTCAGAGAGGAGAGGGGCCTCTGGTTTTTGGCATTTTGTGTGTACAGAAAATATGATTTTAAGACATTTTGAAGGCATCATTTGCATTCAAAGCAATCTTGTATCCTCATACAGTGACTGGTAACTACACGTGTCTATTTCAGAACTAACTCAAAATAAAGGGAAAAGACTTGGTTAGGTTAAGAGACAGCTTATCGCTTGGGTTACAATAGTTACAGAAGTGGTGTAGTTCAGTACGGTTGTTACGTGACAAGTAAAAAATCAATGCTATTTTGCTGATATACACCTGAACATCAGCAGGAGAGGACTATTTAAAGTGGAGACACTATATACTGATATACACCTGAACATCAGCAGGAGAGGACTCTTTAAAGTAGAGACACTACATACTGATATACACCTGAACATCAGCAGGAGAGGACTCTTTAAAGTAGAGACACTACATACTGATATACACCTGAACATCAGCAGGACTCTTTAAAGTAGAGACACTACATACTGATATATAACAACAGCCGGTGTATGCATAGGGAACCATTATTTATTTTCATTAGATATAAATAACTAGAGTGAACATTCTCCTATTAATGCATAATAAGAATCAGAACTGAAATTGAACAACTGTTGGCTCTATAAACATTTCCTGCATTTCCCATGCTTATACATAATGCCACCACTAGATGTCAGAGTCTACACACCATTTACCTCTGCTTCCCTCGTGTAGTTTTCTCCCTTTTTCTAATGTCCCTTTGTCTAAAAATACAGTATTTCCCAACAAAATGTGACGGAGTGGAATACAGTAGTTTTATACGGAAATATTCAAGTCAGTGTGATATGTTATGATCCACAAGCCGAATAATGTGGATTAATTGTTGTAACAAAGGATATAACCTGGGAACCTAACTCAAATGTGAGGTATGTTGGTCAGAAACATTAGAAGTGTTCTAAATGGTAAACAATCAACAACGATAGGTTTGCAGGCGCTAGAAGGGGAAAGAGGGAACTTCATCGGGGACCTTTATATGCAATGAAGCTATATAAACAATAAAATGATTCATTAGTAAAGTCTACAGCGAGTATGAATTAACCACAATACATTATTCAACGTTAAAGTTAACAATAAAGAAAACATCGCTGCTTCAAGAGCAAAAGACGACCACGAAGGGACTCGAACCCTCAATCTTCTGATTCGAAGTCAGACGCCTTATCCATTAGGCCACGCGGTCGGAGTGAGCGGTGGTAAGTCGTAAAGACTATAAAAATATTATAATTTAATATTATATGCATTTATTTGCTAGATAATGGTTATAATATTCACGTTTTCGTACGTAAAATCATCCCAATTTATAACGATAGGTCTTTAATTAACTTGCTGTTCTACGATTAAATGTTAAATTAATCCCTGTAGTTTCTTTTTAGATAGCTGTTGGAATATCTTTTTTTTTAAATAGACAATATACAACCAATAAATGCAATTAAAAAAGAAAGTATATACATGATAATTTGGCTCTATGGCTAAATCTGGCACATTTACGAGATGGACCCAAGTGCTCGAGGTAATTATGTTCATTGTCACTTCTTAATTCGAAAAATGAAATGAAAACATAACTAAAAATAACTAAATTAAAAGATATGTATAAATAAAAAAAGCCAGCTATTGTGATTGCAGGTTTTTTTTACAAGACTATTTCTTAACATTGAAAAACCCTAAATCTGTGTACCACAACCAGCCTAACTCTATAATCCTTAAAACGTCATTAGAAATAGGACCTTGATTTGTATTAAAATAATTTAAATCAATATTTCAAAAGTATTTAAATGTAAATATATGGGATGTTGGGTTTTATGTTTTTGTTTAACCTGACATTGCATTGTAACATATCCAAATAAATAGTCATATCTATTTTTTATTAATGAAAAAAAGGATAAAAGAACCAACAAAACTCAAATTTTGTTTTGGGCCATGCCGTCATTAGGCGCTTTCACACCGGAGTACTTTTCCCAGGAATAATTCCGATTGTTCTTGGGATTTTATGGAACTAGAACTTAGTTCTCTGGAACCTTTTCACCCCTTTTCAGTCCCTGCTGGAGAGGTGGTACTTTCCTGGGGAGAAAAAGGTTCCAATTTCTGATTGGCTGGGCGAATTGCAAACCACGGCCCGTAAAACTCCGAAAAGTTTTGTGAAGCCGCCATTTTATTTGCTCGCATTAGCATTATTAGCATTAGCATTAGCCCAGCGCACCAACGGAGAGAGACTAACTTATGGCAACACAAAAAAACATGGGAGCGGTGGAGTGATGAGGAGGTGTCGGTGCTTCTGGCGATTTCCTCGGAAGACGCTACCCAGCAGCTTCTACTGAAGTCAGTCCCACAACTCCGGGGACTCCGGGAATTCGGGTGGCAGTATACGCCGTGAAGTTGTTTGCGGCCTGCTAGTAAACCCAAAGCAGAAGAAGAAGAAGAAGAAGTGACGTCAGCGGCTTAATTTGCCTAATCCTCCCTCAGGGACTTATTCCGGTGTGAACGCGATCTACTAGGACAGTTCCGGGACTAAAGAGTTCGGCGGGACTAAGTACCGCAAAGTACTCCGTTGTGAAAGCGGCTATTGTACCCTGGAGGAGATCGGAAAGTAAAAAACTTAACAAAAAACTTCACACTGTCATTTTATATCCAGTAAAAACAACAACACAGGATGCATTGTATGCTTTATTAACAGGGTAGTTCAGTAATGACGAACTTAATACAAGAGTAGAGTAAACTGTAATTCCAATATCTTAAAAAATAATGCACATGTTTAAAGTGGATGATAAAAGTAAAGCAAATTAAATAAAGTTTATGGCGACAGGTTGTTAGTGACATTCACATTTAGGCACTGGAAAAGTAAAAAAAACATTCAGACAAAAATAAATACACGTACATTTTCATATCAGCTATCCTAAATATGCAAAGATTAAGCGCCAAGTGCAAAAGGTAAGACTTTAGAGTACAGGAACCTCGTGAGACTTTAACAAGCTCTGGTTTGTTCAACATATTCACATATTCCTCCGTCTACACACTCATAAGACATGACTTTAAATTCACTCCGTGCACCAAAATCCAAAAGAATTCGGTACCACAATCAACTAACCTTTCTTTCATCGTTCAGATTTCAGTACCAGGTTGCAGGCAAACCATCTTCCTCTCGTTTTATTTGGGATGCACCAATATTTGCAGGGGTGACATATCGTTGTAGGCTAGCATTGAAGTTCAACATGTTATTCTAAAGATCAATATTAGTGCATCCTTAGTTTTTATCAATTTGCCTCAAACACAAGTAGAGGGTCCCTCATTTGTCCGCTGTGCAACATTTTCAACTTGTATCTTCACAAATTAAGTGTAAAATGAGCTGGAATAACATTTTTTATGTCAAAGGTTCATACATAAGAGGCTACCCAGAAAAAGGCTATATTGTGGAAAAAGGTGCGATATGTTTGCAGGTTTGGTAAGACGGTTAGGTGTTAGACAAAGCCCTGTTTGAATCCTTATAGGTCTACTGGTTACAGTGCGTCTGTTTAGCTTCAATTAAAGAGAAATACAACACTTGTATAAAAAGCTAAGAAGGAATCAGTTATCACATTTGGACCAATTTCTTAAAAAAGGGTCCAAGTTCTAGTTTTAATCTTCATGCTGTCCATTTAATCCCATTCCTCTTCTTTTTCTAAAACCTGTAGATATCACATACTGCTACAAACCAAAACACACGTCTGCATCTCATCCCTTTGTATCTGATCTCCTAGACCTAAGGCATCTTAAACTAATTTCACATTTTGAGAAATACACCTTTTTGCTTTCATGCCGATAGGTATAAACCACACTTTCACTAAAGATAGCTATCAGTACGTTAGCTTGCTTAGCTACAGACAGCTATCAGTACGTTAGCTTGCTTAGCTAAAGACAGCTATCAGTACGTTAGCTTGCTCAGCTAAAGACAGCTATCAGTACGTTAGCTTGCTTAGCTAAAGACAGCTATCAGTACGTTAGCTTGCTTAGCTAAAGACAGCTATCAGTACGTTAGCTTGCTTAGCTACAGACAGCTATCAGTATGTTAGCTTGCTTAGCTAAAGACAGCTATCAGTACATTAGCTTGCTTAGCTACAGACAGCTATCAGTACATTAGCTTGCTTAGCTACAGACAGGGTAAACAACTAGCCTGGCCAAAGCTAGCGAATAAAAGCAGATTTAGTAAGTCCGTCCAAAGCCTGTATTGTAGATGTACCTCAAAGCGCTGAAGTAACTTTTGCACATTGGTAGGAAACGGTATTTATATCACAATTGTAAATTAAGTTTCCCGTCTGGCTTTCTTTCCAATTAGCATGCCTCTTATCTGACTTCCTCTGGCATGTTAAAGTAGTTTAACATTTTGGGGAAATACGCTTATTTGCTGTCTTGCCGACAAAGATACTATAGCAGTCTGTTAGCTCGCTATGCTAAGGGTAAAGTAGCCTAGCTCCGTCCAAAGCTAACAGCGAATTAAAGCTGCGTGAAGAAGTTTTAATAAGTCCGTCCGGACGTTCTCATTTTGCTCAATAAGAATTAGTGTTGCGGCTTTTCTGCTAGTTAGCCACTTTTGTAGCTAGTGCTGCTAGCTTGGAAATCGGTATGGATTTATCCTTTCGATACTTCTCAAATCTACTAAACTCTTGCTAGTTTCTCAAGATTACCCCCCACTGGCAAACAAAATAGTCTGGTGCATACAAACACACAACAGAGTCAGGCTAACGGTTTCCTAGCTTCCAAAAGAACAATATTATACTCCCTTACTGACTTTAATAATATCATTGTGTGATTCTTATTTGCTAATGTTTATCTGTATTTACTGGCTTTCACGTCTTTGCTAAGCTTGGGAAATGTTCTTAATAAGCAGATTTGTTGAAGGGTTTGATTCTATATCCACATTTGATATATAAACTCCCACCACAATGCTAAGCTAGGCTAACTGGCTGTAGCTTCATATTTGCTGTAAAGACATGTCAGGGATATCAATCTCCTCATCTGGAATAAATCTATTCCGCAAAATCTCAACATTAAAGGGTGAGGCACAACGAACGTGAGCAGTAAGGTCACAGAGAGAACGGTGCAAGAGAAGCAATCATCAATAAAGACTCATTTAAATGTGTAATATAAGAGAGGAGGATTATTAGCAACTGGAGTTAGTTCTTGAGACAGACAGCGCTGAGAGGATTCATCTCTCTTACTGTAGTTATACACATGTTAGTAGAGTCCATTATAATAAACCTCAGTTCATGTCAGTATTAGATTTCCATGTTTTCATCCATTTCTAAGCTTTGACATTTAGTGCACTTGTGAGGCTAAAGAGAGGCTAATTAGTTAGCATTGTGTTAGTGATATGTGTTAGGAGTAAGGCAGTAAAGCCGGTAAATATTGAGTAGGAACGCTGAATATGAGGGCTGGGCAATATATCGATGTTTTATCGGTATCGTCATGTAAGACAAGAATGTTGTGGTCTACAATTGACTCACGCGACTAATAAGTGACTGTCGACTCGAACAAGTTACCAAACCTAAGTGACTAGCTTTTAGGAACAACTTGTGAGAGTAACACGGAAGTCATGTGACTAACGAGTCACGAAAGGCTAACGTGCTAACGACTCACGGTCTTCATTTTATAAATTAAGTTTCCTGTCTCGCTGTCGTTCCTGAAGTTTTACAGCTGGCATCCCTTTTTTATCTGATACAATATTGAGATTGAGGTTAGAAATGTTGTGATGTATGTAGGGTTACCCAGCTCTAGGGTGAACTTAATTCATATATGATTGAAACGTACTACATGCTAATCAGATTCTCGTGAAGGCTGAATGATCAGTTCAGGATGAAACACCATGCTTTTATTTGACCTCTTAGTGAACTATACTTAAGTTTAGCAGTTTAACGCTCTTTCTACAAACACTGAAATAGCATGTTATCGTCCTCTAGAGCCAAACCGTGTTTCGATGTTTTATCGGTATCGTCATGTAAGACAAGAATGTTGTGGTTTACAATGGACTCACCGACTCATGAATGAATGTCGACTCGAACAAGTTACTAAAGTGACTAGTAATCAGGAACAACTTGCGAGAGTAACACAGAAGTCATGTGACTAACGAGTCACGAAAAGGCTAACGTGCTAACGAATCACGGTCTTTATTTTAGAAATGTTGTGATATATGTAGTATTACCCAGCTCTAGGGTGAACTTAATTCAGATATGATTGAAACGTCTTACATGCTAATCAGATTCTCGTGAAGGCTGCGAATTATCACGATGAAACAGCGTGCTTTTATTTGACCTCTTAAGAGAACTGAACTCAAGTTTAGCAGTTTAACTCCCTTTCTATGAACACTGAAACACATTTCCCTCCTCTCTAGAGCCCCCACGTGTTTTAAACCACTACTGTTTACTAGATTTGCCCGATTTGCCAGACTTGCTCGCCTTAGCAACTTTGGTAGCTTTGATGTCCAGCTTGGTCTTCTGGATCCGGGAGAAGATCTCTTTAAAAAGCGCTTTGTACTCCGGCGTGTTTTGTCCCAGCCTCTTATCCACGGCGTCCACCTGCTTGCTGATGCTCTCCATGGCCTCGGGGGTGGAGGGCGACTGCGTCGGGGTGGAGGGCGGCGCCGGCGTGGGTCCGATAGCGCAGTCTTTCATGGACGGATCTCTGGAGACGGGTCGTGAAGTTTGGACTCCGGTGTGACACAGACTCTCCTCGTGGCGCCGACACTTCCCCAACAACTCCTCGTATTTCTCCAGGAGGGCGTGGTACTGCTCGTCAACTTCCCTCAGGATGGACATGCCTGTTAAGCAGAATTTACATCGTTACTTGTTGGAAAAATACTGAATGTCCTCTTCCAATATGAGAGTAGCATGCTAACAAAGGTATCCCAACTGTAGCTGTGAACATGACAGGATGTATGATTACCTAGAAGAGCATCAGGACTGTTTGAGGCATATGATAGCTATGTGATGAACATGATGATTCAGCCTCTATGGAGAGAGACATATGACAAGCATGATCATTTCTGACGTGGAGCTAATCTGAAGTAAACATTGAATACTGCTTTCTATTCCTCCATCTTGTGACTGTGTAACTCCCTCTTTGGATATCAGCATGTGAAGGACACTGTTCAGGAACTAGTTGATGCTCTGTATGTGATGACTACTTCCATTCTGGAGAGGATCAGAAATACATGGATCCTGAGATTGAAGCTCAAGCTGGGGACTAGTGATTATTAACATTTTGAAGCATTCAGAAAAAGTCAGAATTTTGAGATTTTGAGAAAAAAGTCAGAATTTTGAGATTTTGATAAAAAGTCAGAATTTTGTGATTTTGATAAAAAGTCAGAATTTTGAGATTTTGATAAAAAGTCAGAATTTTGAGATTTTGAGTAAAAAGTCAGAATTTTGAGATTTTGATAAAAAGTCAGAATTTTGAGATTTTGATAAAAAGTTAGAATTTTGAAAAAAAAAGGCAGAATTTTGAGGAAAAAAGTCAGAATTTTGAGAAAAAATACAGAATTTTGAGATTTTGAGAAAAAAGTCAGAATTTTGAGATTTTGAGAAAAAAGTCAGAATTTTGAGATTTTGAGAAAAAGTCTGAATTTTGAGAAATAGTCAAAAACCAACATTTTGAGAAAAAAACTCAGTATTTTGTTCATGACAGGATGTATGATTACTTAGAAGAACCGGTATTCCTCCATCTTGTGACTGTGTAACTCCCTCTCTTGGATATCAGCATGTGAAGGACACTGTTCAGGAACTAGTTGATGCTCTGTATGTGATGACTACTTCCATTCTGGAGAGGATCACAAATACATGGATCCTGAGATTGAAGCTCAAGCCGGGGACCAGTGAGATTTTTGTAACATTACTCTACCTATTTTTCTATAAAGTGAAGATTTGTTTACCTACTTTTGATACATGCTCTGATAGAATAACTGTATGCTGTTGATAAAACTCAATAAACAAAGTTAAAAAGGATGAACATGCCTCTTTTCCGCACACTATTGGCGTGGAGAGCGTAGCTTCCTCTCCGCCTCCCGGACGCATCTCGAGCCACGATGGCGTTCAGCGCCGTGTCGCTGCAGCTCTTCCTCACGGGGCTGGACTCCGGGAGAGTTTCCCCTCCGACGCTCTTCCCCCCGCCTTCATTCGCCTCTCGCACGCCGCCCCCCGTCTCCTCGCTCACCTCCACCTCCAGGAAGGTGTCTGTCTCCGGCGTGCTGTTCAGGACGGTTTGTGTTATCGTGGTGCCGTCGTCCTCACTGCTCATCAGGAAGGTCCGAGCGCGACGAAGCTGCTGAAGCTCCTGAAGCTCAACCTCCAGCTCACGGACCCTCGCCTGGCAGCTCTCAGCATCCTGAAATACAGAAAAAATCGAAAATGAAAATCGAAATTGAGTTTATTATATATAAGATATTGAAGTGAATGAAGCTTAGCGCAAGTTCAACCAGGAAGACCATCTTGAGCCATTCATTCACATATTCCCGGCTTACTACTCTCTCTCCTCTCAATCAGTGATCGGGGGCGTCACTCCCAGCTAAACCTATCACTTCGCTCTATTCCCACAAGCCTATCATAGTGCATTGCTAAACCTTTAAATCTGCTCTCTCCCCTCCTCACATGCCCCTTTCACACCAACGCGTTTTCAGGGCCGGCTCGGAGCTAGAGCCTGAAAAGTACCGGTTTTTCCTGTTCACACCGCAGCGGCGCCGCCTCTTAGCTCGGGAATCCGGTTCGTTTCCAGCTCCAAAAAATTGTCGGTCTAGAAGCAAGACTCCGGAGCTAAGAGGCGGCGGCGCTTACGTCTCTCTTACGTCGAGGCGGGGGCGGGGGCAGGGGCATGGGCGGGATCAACCTCCTGAACAACAACAAAATGCCCGCGTTTTATCCAGTTTGTACACAACGATGGAAAACCTCAAACTTAATAAGCAGCAGTGGTCCACTGAAGAGACCAGCTACCTAGTGGCAATCTAAACGAGCACAACCAAAGCGAACAGCGCTTCAATACAATCGGCCATTGTTGTTGTTGTCGATGTGAGGGATTTCCGCGCGGTTTGGCTTTTATGAAGCAGGCACGTAAACGGTTACGTCATGACGCAAACGATGAGGGAATGACGCAGTACCACCCCGGCTCTGTGCGGTGTGAACAAAGCGGGAGCAGAAAAGGGAAACCGGAGCTGAACCAGAAAAGCTCTAGCACGGAGCTAGAACGGGAAAAGCGCTGGTGTGAAAGCCGCAACAGTTGTCATTTCAGGAGACTCAACGCAACCCTCCTCCACCTTCCTTTCTTCCAAATCCAGGGTCAAGCTCAAACCACTACTCTTCAGGCCGACCTCCATCAGTCCCTTCATGCTTTCACCACCACCAGTGTCTAGACCCCAGGGGGGATTCATCGGTTCGGTTTTCCCCTCCCGAATGATATTCCAGCACAACAGGGTCTAATCACCGAACACCATCACATGCATCTGTGTATTCCCGACAAAAAATATATATTGTTATATCAAAAGAAAACTTGTCTCTCCTGATTGAAATAAAGTTATTCTGATTCTGATTTCGTACCTGCACGCGTGTCTGCAGGCGGGAGAACTCTCCCAGCAGAAGGTTGCACTCCCTCTCGACTCCCTCCCGTCTCCCCCTCTCTGTCCGGGCCGCGCCTCGCAGCGCAGACACCGCCTCCCGCAGGTGCTGGTTCTCCTCTTCGAACGGAGGGCGCTTTGCATCCACCGTGAAGCTCTCTGCCCGACCCACCACAAACTGATCCTCATACCTGACAACGAGACAAGACAAATACAGAGTTATAAAAACACTCTGAAGCAAGATATCGTTATCTTACGAGATAGCTATCTAACGTTTTGGCAAGTAAAGATTGTTAGTAGGGATATTGTCAAATATCTGGAACAAACTACCAGAAACATGCAGGTCCGCTGCAACTCTGACTACTTTTAAATCCAGGCTCAAGACTTTTATTTTTGCCGTTGAGTTTAATCCAAGATCAAATGTACGTTGAAGCATCTTGAACGTATTGTGATTGTTATCTTATGTTAAATGTCTGTTTCCATGTCTTGTCTCAAAAATGTGTCCTTGTTGATTTTGCAAATGGAGCTGCTGATTTAACGCTGAAGTGTTATTGTATTTTATCGTTATAGATCACAGATTGTTGGAGATCAGTACCCGGGTGCGGTGCAGAGCTCTCGCAGGCAGGGGAAGGAGTGGATGGTTTTCCGGCGCTCCCGTTTCTCCCTGCGGACTCGGAGCTGCTCCATGGAGCGAAGCTGCTCCACCTGTCCGGAGAGCGTCTCCACCTGGACCTGCAGAGCATCGATGGTGCCGGTCAACCTGGGGAAGAGGGAGAGGAATTAATAATAATAATAATAGGTTTATTTCGTATAGCACCTTTCATAGAAATAAAATTCACAAAGTGCTTCGCAAGAAAGAACAAAAGTTCAAATGAAGACCACAGAAACATGAATACAATAACAACACAGAGCATGTGGAGTCCTGAAAGGAACAAATATAAGAACAGAACACACACACATCTCAAGGAGAAACAAAAGCCAATGTAAAAAGATGGGTCTTCAGTAGTTTTTCAAAAGCTTCTACAGAGAGTGGAGAGCGGATGTCAAAAGGGAGAAAGTTTTATCAGCAGAAATGGAACAGAATTGGAGGCCACCAAATTGCTCCTTTAAAATCCCCGTTACCGACCTCTCTATCTTCTGATGAGAGTTCTTGCTGTCGATCACCAGAGACACGTTGGTGCGTTCCAGTTCCCGCGCCGTCCCGTCAAGCTGCTCGTAAACTTTGGCGTGTTGTTCGTTCATATCCCGGAGAACGTCCAGCTGCTTGGACAGATACTGCAGGAGACAAGAACAAACATTAGGAATATATAACGAATTTGAAGTAAAAAGCTAACGTTAGGCTATAAAGGAACTACAGCACGGTCACATGACTTCACGTCAACACCGCTAAGCTAAAGGAGGCTAATGTTGGGCTATAAAGGAACTACAGCACGGTCACATGACTTCACGTCACCACCGCTAAGCTAAAGGAGGCTAATGTTGGGCTATAAAGGAACTACAGCAAGGTCACCTGACTTCACATCACCACCGCTAAGCTAAAGGAGGCTAATGTTGGGCTATAAAGGAACTACAGCACGGTCACATGACTTCACGTCAACACCGCTAAGCTAAAGGTGGCTAATGTTGGGCTATAAAGGAACTACAGCACGGTCACATGACTTCACGTCAACACCGCTAAGCTAAAGGTGGCTAATGTTGGGCTATAAAGGAACTACAGCACGGTCACATGACTTCACGTCACCACCGCTAAGCTAAAGGAGGCTAATGTTGGGCTATAAAGGAACTACAGCACGGTCACATGACTTCACGTCACCACCGCTAAGCTAAAGGTGGCTAATGTTGGGCTATAAAGGAACTACAGCACGGTCACATGACTTCACGTCAACACCGCTAAGCTAAAGGTGGCTAATGTTGGGCTATAAAGGAACTACAGCACGGTCACATGACTTCACGTCACCACCGCTAAGCTAAAGGTGGCTAATGTTGGGCTATAAAGGAACTACAGCACGGTCACATGACTTCTTTAAAGTAGAGACGGTACATACAATGAAACCTGAACATTTGCATCATAGGGTCCCTTTAATGTAATAATAATAATTCAGCATATCCTGCGTACCTCGATCTCCTGCACCTGCTCCTCGTTGGTGATGTACATCAGCTGCAGGGAATCCTCCAGCTCCTTGTTTCTCTCCAGCAGAGTTTTCCCCAGCTCCGCCGCCAAGTGGAGGTCTGCAAAACACGGAGAAATTCACAAACAGATGAACAAATAAGTCGCGAGTATAGCTGCACGATACTAGACAAAACTGTCTTTCCAATGGGGTTTTTTTCTGCAGAAATTGTAAAAAACATGACATTTTCACCAGACGATCGACAAAATACCCAACATTCATAAATCAAATGACTTAAGTATACATTTGAGGTACTTGTGCTATACCCAAATATTTAAATTTCACATATTGTAAGCCAATTTTAGTACTTGTTACTGCACTACTTTTATTTTAAAGATTTATTTTGTAGTTACTTTCTAAATTCAGTTTTTTCATACATTACTGAGGAAAAACTTTGAAAGTAAGATTATTTTGTAAAGATGAAACCATCCTGCATTATATTGAAGTAACTGAAACCATGAGTTGGACAATAAGCAGTTTTGCCAAGGAGTTTTATATATATTTCACAGTTTCAGCTTCTGAAATGTGAAGATTTTTTAACTATTCTTTTGAGTTTTCTCTGCAATACCGAATACTTTTAACCCCAAAGTACATTTTCCTAATTAAATACTTTTACTGATGTACCATTCTTGATGCAGTACTTTTACTTGAAATGTAGTGTTTTTACAGTCTGGTATAAGTACTATATACGTTTCTGAATACTTTTTCCACCACTGGTGCACGAGTCGAACAGAAAACCTGACGGTGTTTCTGAGATATTAAGTTCTTCTTTAAATGCAACTGGACGTTTGTCCCAAATTTGAAGAAGTTCCCTGATCCTGGGATACGGTGTTCACGAAAAAGGGAAGGAGATATATTTAAAACATATATAAGATAAGATAAACTTTATTGATCCTAGTTTGGGAAATGTTTTCGCCGAAGCAGCATGTCGGTAACGGTACGTCCACACGGCAGCGTCGCGTTGAAGCTTGCCGGTGGGCGTGTCTGGCGTGCGACCAACAACCAATCACATTAATCTCCCGCCCCGGACACACAAGCACGCGGTTTGATTGGCTAGAGCTTGTACTGGCATATGATTTGATTGGCTGACGCTTCAGTCGACGCTTGAAAAATTGAACTTTTCTCAACTTTCAGCATGAGCAACGGAGGCAAAGCGACGCGACGGAACCACAATGCAGTTCGGCAAAGCCTGACGTCACCCCATTCAAAGTGAATGGGTCGGGAAGCGTCCCCGTTGAAGCACGCGACGCTGCCGTGTGGACGTACCGTAAGACATTGCACATGAATTAGAAATAGATCAAATACAATAAAGATAAACATATCAGCAGTGGAAGATAAACACAATACGCATTATATATAGATATCATGTTTTACAGCAGCCCTTGCTTCCCCTGAAGGCACCACACTGTCCCGTTTTATTTGCAGACTCTCGTATCACCTCCAAACTACGCTGAGTCAGCTTCTGTATCCGGGCTCTGACTCTGCGGTTCTGATTGTCGGCAAAACGTTTACGACCTCTCAGAGAAAGAGGAATACAACAGCGAAGAGCTAATTATAATAAAATAATCCCACATTTGATGTAGTATTTGAATTTTAAACGAGTACTTGTTTTGTCATTGTCTTTCCTGAAAAACCTTTTTTTTAATGTCGTAGGCCTAGTTGTTTTTTCAGGGAGTACTGTACTTGTTTTTTTTGTGTAGTATTTGTGCTTTAAAGGCATAACTTGAGTGAGCTTCGTGACGAAATAGGAGGAGGAGGAGAAGGTATTTTGAAAAACCATCCCCACATTGTGAACTTCCTGTGGCATTTATTAGGAAAAAGTGACAGTGGAAGAGAGGAAGACGGCTAATCAATACTAGCATTAGCAAAACAGCTGAGCAGATCAATACTGCCCGCTCACAGGATGAAGATAATCTCATCCTGAATGACAGAGACACTTCCTGCATGCTGTGCAGCTGGGTTCACATACAAGCTGCTTTCTCTAAATGTTTTCAATGCAACTGCCGGACATTTTGTGCACAACGGTCTGATCTGTTCTGCAGACGGAGGGTTTTCTGTGGGTGCATTTCTCTCGTGGGATTCACAGGAACGTGGAGAACTTCCTCCGGTCCTGAGCTGCAGACTTCTTAACAGAGAAGCTTCTAGATGTGAATTATCAGTGGAGAAGTAGCTTTTTCTTCACATAAACTGCACTATTTAAGCACTAGGCCCTGGTTTCAGACAGAGGGTGAAAATAGGTGCTGCAGCATGAGAAAAATAAAGAGCTTTTTGAACATTAAAGCATGGAGACATGTCCCAGTAGAGACACTGCATACTGATATACACCTGAACATCAGCAGGAGAGGACTCTTTAAAGTAGAGACACTACATACTGATATACACCTGAACATCAGCAGGAGAGGACTCTTTAAAGTAGAGACACTACATACTGATATACACCTGAACATCAGCAGGAGAGGACTCTTTAAAGTAGAGACACTACATACTGATATACACCTGAACATCAGCAGGAGAGGACTCTTTAAAGTAGAGACACTACATACTGATATACACCTGAACATCAGCAGGAGAGGACTCTTTAAAGTAGAGACACTACATACTGATATACACCTGAACATCAGCAGGAGAGGACTCTTTAAAGTAGAGACACTACATACTGATATACATCTGAACATCAGCAGGAGAGGACTCTTTAAAGTAGAGACACTACATACTGATATTCACCTGAACATCAGCAGGAGAGGACTCTTTAAAGTAGAGACACTACATACTGATATACACCTGAACCTCAGCAGGAGAGGACTCTTTAAAGAAGAGACACTAGATACTGATATACACCTGAACATCAGCAGGAGAGGACTCTTTAAAGTAGAGACACTACATACTGATATACATCTGAACATCAGCAGGAGAGGACTCTTTAAAGTAGAGACACTACATACTGATATACACCTGAACATCAGCAGGAGAGGACTCTTTAAAGTAGAGACACTACATACTGATATACACCTGAACATCAGCAGGAGAGGACTCTTTAAAGTAGAGACACTACATACTGATATACACCTGAACATCAGCAGGAGAGGACTCTTTAAAGTAGAGACACTACATACTGATATACACCTGAACATCAGCAGGAGAGGACTCTTTAAAGTAGAGACACTACATACTGATATACACCTGAACATCAGCAGGAGAGGACTCTTTAAAGTAGAGACACTACATACTGATATACACCTGAACATCAGCAGGAGAGGACTCTTTAAAGTAGAGACACTACATATTGATATACACCTGAACATCAGCAGGAGAGGACTCTTTAAAGTAGAGACACTACATACTGATATACACCTGAACATCAGCAGGAGAGGACTCTTTAAAGTAGAGACACTACATACTGATATACACCTGAACATCAGCAGGAGAGGACTCTTTAAAGTAGAGACACTACATGCTGATATACACCTGAACATCAGCAGGAGAGGACTCTTTAAAGTAGAGACACTACATACTGATATACACCTGAACATGAGCAGGAGAGGACTCTTTAAAGTAGAGACACTACATACTGATATACACCTGAACATCAGCAGGAGAGGACTCTTTAAAGTTGAGACACTACATACTGATATACACCTGAACATCAGCAGGAGAGGACTCTTTAAAGTAGAGACACAACATACTGATATACACCTGAACATCAGCAGGAGAGGACTCTTTAAAGTAGAGACACTACACACTGATATACACCTGAACATCAGCAGGAGAGGACTCTTTAAAGTAGAGACACTACATACTGATATGAAACCTGAATATGAGAACAATATGTTCTCTTTGAAAAGGAAGAAACTTATGGGCACTTGCCATTTAAAAGAAGATTATAAGCAACTTCAGCTAGCTTAGCAATAATACTAGCTAACAGCACCTCTACTGCCCAATAAATAATCCAGGACTTCACTTTTTTGTGCATTTAAACACCAACAAATAAGGATAAAATGTACAAGCATCCAAGAGTCCAGACAGAGTTCAGACGACAAAAGCATTCATGCAGCGACAGTCAAATGTAACAAAGCACTTTGGTCTCGGCCAGATAGAGAATCAATTATTAAGATTACAACAACTTTTCACATTGGTATCTAATGTAGATGGAAACCCTGAAGTTCTTACAAGATGTCAACAAACGCAGCTAAAGACCTCTCTTCATTTTACCCAAACAGTACAAGTTCCTCCACTAATCTGCATAATCCGCCTGTTGCAGAACAGCTGGTTTCACTCTGGGGTCAGATTGCATTCATCGTGCAGAACAACGAGCACTTCTCTCTCCCTCTCCTCTCTCTCTCCCTCTCTCCCTCCCTCTCCCTCCCTCCTCTCCTCTCTCTCTCTCTCTCCCTCTCCTCTCTCCCTCTCTCTCTCTCTCTCCCTCCCTCTCTCTCTCTCTCTCCTCCTCCCTCTCTCCCTCTCCCTCTCTCCCTCTCTCTCTCTCTGGGATTCGTGGCATCCTGAAATGTCGCGCGTCAAAACGTCAGCATTTCTGACATCATCCACGGGTCATAAAACGATTAAACACCTGAACTCTGTGAAGAACATCCATAAACATTCATCAGAGGCTCAGTGGACATTTTTAAACGTCAACTGAAGACACATCGTTTTGGATTAGCTTTTTATTAGCAACCCCCCACTTTAAATGGTCTTTTAGTCTTTATTATTTACCTACTTTTATTTATTGTATAGGTCCATATCTACACTGTAGCTAATGTGTAAATGACAATAAATAATAATAATAATAATAGATGAAATGTGCAAAGTGCCTTTCAAGGGATCCAAGGCCACTTTACATGCTGAACAAACAAACAAGCAAATAATAAAGTAAAAATCTAAATAAAGCCTTGAATCTTGGATCTGTCCGACACGATGCTCATTTCTTACACCTTGACTTTTGTGAATACCTGTAGTGAAGATGCATATTCATCTGCAGATGTGTGGCGATGAAGTTCAGCGCAAGTTCTTTCAGGAAGACTGTACATTGAGATATTTGTATTACAGTGAAAACAGTTTCCAGCCTCTTGAATATGAATAATTTCAGCTTTTTCTTTATTTTCTATAATATTAAAGGTGGGGTAGGTAAGTTTGAGAAACCGGCTTGAGATACACTTGTTGTTATATTCCATGGAATGCTCTTAACATCCCGATAGCAATGAATATCTGAAGTGCTTTGATAAAAAATCCATAAAGAAATGTCATCTGTGGAAGCCGTAGTACTGTAAAAAGTACGACCAATCATCTGAGCCGGCCCGGCTAAAATAACTGGATGGCCTACCTGCCTGTCAGCCTTCCATCTGTGCACAAACTTATCTCATGCCCTCATTGGTCATGTGCGCGTTCCTGTGTGTTGGAGGAGGGGCTCTGTAAGGAAGTGGCAGATTTTCTCCGGTTGTGTATTTTCAAATTCTCGCGATCTAGTTTCTCAAACTTACCTACCCCACCTTTAAAGTGGACCTATCATGCTATATTTGAATAATATAGTGTAGGACCATACCTATATAAGGCATATTTATACTTTTTTCTTTTCAAAATACCAAACAGATCATGCATTTTAGCCATGCCTCATTTCGCTCAATTTGCACTTTTTTTAGCTCTGCTCTGCAAGGGCAGATTCAGTGAGAACAGCACCACCTACAGGCCTGACATATGTACTACAGCGTCTCCAGCGCTTTCGAACGGCAATGGCCTGCTGTCTCCTCCTGATTGGTGGAGTTGGCCCAATAGCCGTAGCGCCACCGTCCTGACGTCAGGACAGTGTTCAAATCTGGATTAGTTTTTATCAGATCCGTTGCAGCCCCTTTTTTAGAGATTTGGGTATGGAGGAAAATAGAGAGGGTTGTGTTTTCTGACACTTGGTGAGTTCCCTGGAACACCGGGGACACATATTCATGTAGAAAAGACGTACAAAAGTGCATTTTGCATGATAGGTCCCCTTTAAGGTTCATATCTAATATCTAAATACATAAATAAACTATGTTCAAGTGCAGAAATTGGTATCTGTATTATAGAATTTTAACACTTCATATAAAAATATACAGAAAAACATGACTCAGTCTTAAAGGTCCCATGTCATGGCCATTTCTACTGATCATAATTCCATTGTTGAGGTCTACTAGAATAGATTGACATTGTTCAATGTTCCAAACTCACATTGGTTTCTCATACAGCATCTCTGTATAGTATGTGTATTCACTCTCTGTCCTAAACGGCTTGTTGGAGCTCCTGCCCCCCCCCCTCCCTATGAGCCCACTGTGCTCTGATGAGTCCACCACACTGTCCGCCCTTTGAGGCTCGAGGAGCGGACAGTGTGAGCTGGATTACTGGTGTCGTTTCCTGGTTGCTGCGTGGGGTCTGCGAGACAGCGAGACATCGCGAAACTCAGCCTGAGCACACACACGTGAGTGTGTGGCGAACTGTGAGTGGAGGTCCGCGGAGCCGCGGCTGAGAAAAGATAAGGCTGGCTGAGTGTGTGTGTGAGAGGAACTCCACGGATTGGTCCATTTGGGTATGGTCACGTCACTGTACCCAGGAAGAAAAAGAGAAATGTCCAACGAGGCGTTCTGGGGCAGCATAGACAGGTCTTTTCTGTGTTAGAGTTTTACTCGCTACAGGGTGTACTTTGAGGGTTTGTGACTCTGCAGACCGTTCACATGCAGAACAAGCTTCATAACACAAGGGGACGGGTAGTCACCGGAAAAACATGACATGGGACCTTTAAGATAGTTGGTTTTCTAAACTAATGTCAATGCAAACAGGAAATCCTCACGTTTGAGAAGCTGGAAATTGTCTGCATCTTCATTTTTAAAGCTTAATTGATCCTGTATTGATGATTGTATATTTCCTGCAGGCCTGGAGACATCGAGGCCTTTCTCTCAAATGTCTCTCTAACGCTGAGTGTTTGCACTGAAACTGAGGAAACACACAGATTGTTCATGTGATGTTTTGGTGTTTTCTTTAGTTTTGTTTCTTTCCATTAACTGTCAAGTAGGAACTAAGGATTTTTTTGTACGCTTTTCTTATTTCCCTACGATGCTGTTATGATAAGAAAATAAGAAGGACAGACCATCTATTTCTATGTATTTATTTATTTTGAGAAAGGGGCAGGTAATATCAGATTATTTTCTTCTCCCTGCTGCTTTTCGGGAGGTGTGTTTATAGAGACACGTTTTGTACATCATTGTTATACATTAAGCTTTTGTGCATACCCTGAATTCAATTCACATTTAAATTCAAAGGTGTTATTGTCATATGCACATAAGCTACAGTGTAGAAATGGCAATGCAATTCTTCTGACCTGAGCTCCTCCAACAATGCAACATACACAAACACAAAATACAGAATACAAAGTAGTGCAAAAAGTACATGTCAAAAGATAGAATGATGAACGGATGTTGACATGAGAGATGTCGCTTTGTGGAGCAGCTGACAGGGTGGATGCTGCTGCAGGATAATGATGATGATGATGATGATGATGGTGTTGTATGTATTTATATAATCAGTCTTCTTACCCTGCTCCAGGTCCTGCTGGTCGTACCAAGGCTCTTCCTCTTCGGTCACAAATTCCTCCATGATGCCCGTGTTTAGCATGCGGGGGAAATCCTGCAGAACCAGGCCGCTCCGAAGGAACAATGGAGCGGATCCAGCAGCGGACAGACACCGCTCCTCCTCCAGCTGCTGTGGATCTACGTGTTTCCTCTTCCCTTATCCCCGCCCCCCTCTTACCGCCCGGCTCCGGCACATCCCGGTGCTCAAACCCACTGCCACGTCGATAGGTTTTTTTTCTTCTTTTTTTCAAAACTTTATTCAACAATTATTCCATTAAATCAGAAACACACACACACACACACACACACACACACACACACACACACACACACACACACACACACACACACACACACACACACACACACACACACACACACACGATCCTACAGCACCACCTACAGGTTTAAGCATGTTTAGATGCAATCAATCCAATAAAAGGACATTTATTAGTCATAAACTCCTTATATTTTATTCAAAAACTTCAATTCATGTCAAAAATCTTCAGTGTTCATTAAACATTTCATTCTTGTAATAATGTTTTGCTCAGTAGTTGTCTTTCCTATTGTTTTAAAACCTCCTACTTTTTCCTGTATTTTATAAAACAGTCGTTCTTTTATTTATTAAACTTTATTCAACAATGATTCCAATAAATCACAAACACACACACATCCGTGTTCATTACTAGAGGTGGAAGAAGTATTCAGATTCTTTAGTTATACTTGAGTTACAAATATATTAGTGTCAAAATTAATCACTAGTAAAAGTCCTGCATTCAAAATCGTACTTATTATATTTGAAGTGTGTTTTAATGATGTGTTTATGATTTCTGACTCTGTAAAGTGTCTTTGAGTTTCTAGAAAAGCGCTCTATAAATAAAATGCATTATTAATATTACAAAAGCATGAATGTACTTAAAGTATAACAAGTCAAAGTAATCATTGTGCAGAAAGATTGCTTGTAATTATATTAAAATGTGACAAGATGATATGGTTGCTTCACATTTGACTGACAAAGTACTTTTTGTAG